GCCTGGGGATCAGGAAAGCTAGGCAAAGTAGCTCCAACTGTTGGCTTAGATGTGTGGGTTGATTTTGGAAGCGGGGAGACCAGGCAGGGCAGAGCAAATCTTAGCTCATCAGTAAGTGCAGAAACCAGGCTGCAGTGCAGGTCATGTCAGGCTAGGCTGTCACATCTACTGGTTTGCATGAGCCAGGGATGGGAGCATACTGAGAACCCACCAGCAAAAGTTGGGACTGGGGGCAGGCTGGGGCAGGCCAGACTACAGCATCCAAAAGCAAAGACCAAGACAGGTGAGGGACTATGCCAAGCTGGGTCAGAGTAACCACTGGCACGCACAGTATCTATAGCTGGGAAGAGGCCTGGCTGGGGAGCAAAGGCATGGATTTTGGTTCCCATTGGTGAGTGCAAGAGCCGGAGTGGGGGCTGGGATCTGGTCTGGACATGGATGCAGTCTCCCTCAGCACAAGTAGAGACTGGGACTATACTGGGGTGACTGGGATAGGCTCCAGCACCCACTGGTGCTCATGAGAACCAGGGTGGGTGTAGGACAGGCTAGGTCTCTGTCCCTGCTAAACCAAGTGTGAGCTGTGTTTTGGTGCAGATCAGGCTTGACTGGGCTGTAACACCTAACAGTAAAAACCAGAATGGGTGAAGGCCAGTCAGGACGGGCTACTGTTTCTGCTAGGACAGGAAGGCGGCTAAGTAGGGCTGGCCCATGGACCCACTGATGGTCGTGAGATCTGGGATTGAAAGAGGTTCTGATGGAGGAGCTTGGGGAACTCCTCTACTGGCACATAGCCCCTGCAGGTGAGCCCAAGAACCGCAATAGGGAGCATCCCAGACCAGACTAAATGATGAAACCCACCAGCATACATTTGGCGCAGGTCAGGGTCAGACTAGGTTGGGCCAGTTCATATCACCCACTCACAAATCCAAGAACCAAAATGGAGTGTGGATCAGGCTGGGTTGGGCCACAACACAAACTAGTTCACATGAGGGCCAGGATTAGGGGTCAGCTGGGCTGGGTTAGACTGTAGCTCCCACTAGTGAGAGCTGGAATTGGGGCTGGGCTGGGCCCAGCCAGGCTACAGCACCCACTGGCCAATGCTAAGGTGAGGTGGACTGTGCCAGACTGGCCACAGCACCCAACCAGCATACGTAAGATCCAGGGGGAGGGGGCAAACCCAGTAGGAGGGCTGCTAAGGGCTCCCATGCTGGACCACCATTCCCACTGCTGAGCGTTAAGAGTCGGGATGGGAACAGACTGGTCCAAGCAGGACTACAACACCTGTTGTCCTGCATGCAGGCTGGATCAGGCCTGCAAGACAGGCTTGGTTGATTCCTTCTGGTGCATACATAAGCCAGAGTGGTCGGGCTTTGCCACAGCATCAGCTAACAGACACTGGCACAGGGGGCAAATTCTGTCAAGCTAAACTGCAGAACCACCTAGAGAGTGCAAGGTCCAGGAGTGGGGATGGGCCCAGTAGGGAAAAAGTGGGCACCTCCCTCTTGGGTTGCCACTCCAACTAGTGAACATGAGAACCAGGACTGGGGCAGGCACGGCCAAACAGAGTGGCACCCATCGGCATGTGTGTTGGCTGGATAGTAGGGCTGGCTGGGTTGGACTAGGCTACAATGCCCATTGACATGTATGAGAGCTGAATGGGATGTGGGACAGACTGGACCAGTCTGCTGTACATACTGGCAAACACAGGAACCAGGGTAGGAGGTGGACCTCATGAGGGTTACTGCAGGTCACTCCAACTAGGTTGCAGCTCCCACTGGTGTACATGAGGGCCAAGTGTGTGGTGGGCAAGACCAGGCTAGACTGCAACACCCATGTTTGTATAGAAGACAGAAATGACCCAGCAGTTGCAACCACTTGCATATGCATAAGCTGACTGGGATGATGAACTGTGCCAGACCCTGTATTGGCAAGCACACACAAGAATCAGGTCTGGGATCACCTCAGTCAAGGTTCTCCGGGAATCCCCAAACTGAATTGCTGGACTCAGAACCCCAACCATGGAGAGAACTGCAGGTTCCATGGTCTGACCATGTAGTGCATTAGTCAGAGCTGGGCCCATTCAGTGGCTTAGAGCAGTGGACAGCATAACCAGGTGCACATGAAGGACATGGCAGTACATTGGAGTCTGCACAAGACACGTGGTACGACAGAGAACAGAACAAATTGATCAACTACTTTAGCCAAGTGTTGGCAAGGAATACCTGGGCAAACAGAGACTCTAAGGTGGACTATGTCAACCAGTGGATTCTGGAGAAATTTCATCGTGCTTGTAGCTGCAAGACTGGTAGTAATTCAGAACTGTGGAACTATCAAAACCTCTTGAGCAGGACCCTCGGAGCATGCCTCACCTCAGGGACACTGGGGTGGTGTCAGGCTCTAGGATGTCCTCCATCTCAGGGTGCAGAGTCTTTGGGGAGGCTGGAAGTGGCTTCTCCGCTTACCTCCCCGCTTAGATACAGGAAGGAAAAAAAAAAAGAAAATGTGAAAATAATGGTCTCATCCACCTTCCTGTAGCCCTTGACCCTTATCAACTATGTAAAAATCATCAAATATTAAACATAAAAAATATCCAGGCAAGTAACTTCTTCATGAGGAACCTGTTGTTACACATAGGTAGCGACCACTAAACAGAATACTTCTTTTTTTTAAAGATTTATTTTTTATTGGAAATGCAGATATACAAAGAAGAGCAAAAAGAGAAAGATCTTCCGTCTGAAGATCCACTCCCCAAGTGGCCTCCACAGCCAGAGCTGAGCTGATCCGAAGCCAGAAGCCAGGAGCTTCTTTCAGGTCTCCCACGCAGGTGCAGGGTCCCAAGGTTTTGGGCCGTCCTCTACTGGCTTTCCCAAGGTACAAGGCAAGGAGCTAGAGGGAAAGTGGAGCAACCAGGACACAAACTGGCACCTACGTGAGATCCTAATGCTTGCAAGGTGAGAATTTAGCCACTGAGCTATCACACCAGGCCTTGACCTTATATCTATCTCCTTTATAAAAATTTGTTTATTTTTATTGGAAAGATAGATTTAGAGAATGAGAGACAAAGAGGAAAATCTTCCGTCTACTGGTTCATTCCTCAAGTGGCCTCAACGCCAGAGTTGAGCCAATCCAAAGTCAGGAGCCAGGAACTTCTGGGTCTCCCATGTGGGTGCAGGGTCCTGAGGCCTTGGGTCATCCTCCACTGCTTTCCCAGGCCACAAGCAGGGAGCTAGACTGGAAGTAGAGCAGCTGAGACGTGAACTGGCACCCATATGGGATCCTAGCGGATGCAAGGTAAGGACTTCAGCCACTAGGCTACTATGCTGGGTCCGAACTTATTTATGAAGGCACAGAATTTTATAAGGGGGGAAGGTGTTAGTTTTAGATTATTTTATAAATTGACACTATAAGTTGCCTTTGAAATACTTCTCAGTTAAAAAAAAAAAAAAAAAAAAAACATCATCCCCCTACAACCCCCAGGCCTGGTCACAAGTCAAGCATGACCCTGCTCTATTCTAAGGATGAAACTGCCCAAGAAGGCCTCCCAGCAGCCCTGCAAGTCCTGAACTTCTGAGGGAAATCCACTAACAGTAAACAGCAGGAGGCCAGAGACATGTACTGTGAATGAGGAAAAAAGGGAAAGGGCTTAGAAATGAATACATCTGAAAGACAGTGAGGGGTGTGAAAAGTTCAGCCCCAATTTAACAAAGCCGCATTCTGCACCACTGTCACTTGAACCCAGGGCAAGACAAACTTCAGAAGACGGGACACTCTTGAAATACAGAATTTTATTTAGAAACTGTTTAAAGTAGAAAAAAACCCTGTCAAGAAAGACCAGGTGGAAAATGGGTTCCCAATAAAATGGAATTTTAGGGAAACAAAAGTCTAAAAGGCCACAAAAGAGAAATAGCACCACTGTCAACTGAACAATGGCTAGTTACTTGCATTTTTTTGGCATTGTTAATCACTGAATCTGGGTTTTCCTCTGAATTCCACACAGAGCATGCATTACACAACAACTGTATCATAAAATAGCTGCTTTCTACACACGTTTTAGGACAAGCTACCACCAGAAACAAATCAATACAAACACATCAGGGGCTGGACAGTCTCAGGAGCGGGTCACATACATTATGCAGAATTCTGCCAAACAAAAGGATTGACCAGGCTGTTGGCAAAGCAAATGGGGGAGTTAGGGAATGAAAGATTTTAAATATTAATAATTAATTCAGACATGGTACTGCATTTTCTGCAAAGGAAAACTAACATTTAGTAACACACTAGTGAATTGTATCTCCAAAGAGATTAGTGCACTGGCAAAGTATTCAGTTAACAGTGGAGAGCTGTGAACAGCAGATCCCGAAACACCCCAGCCCGAGGAAACGACGGCCTTCACTGCTCCCTCCCTTTGCCAGAGGTCCAGAAAGAACTTGCAGCACAATCACCCGCCTGCTGTGCTTCCAACGCTAAGCAGCAAACTTTAAGGAGCCAAAGAGGCATCCCCAGTGGAAAAGGGGAGCAGAGAAGAGGAACATGTTCAATGTAAACTTCAGACAGTATAACATGGGACATAACCCATTCAAATCCCAGAGACACGGGCAAGTCCCCTAGAGTAGCTGTTTGATTAAAAAAACTGGACACATCTCATTCCCTCAACACAATACACAGAAATTTCGGGAACAATTAGAAAAATCATCAAGAGAAATGCTCAGTGAAAATCGGGCTCTCCAACTCACCCAGCTCAGAGCGGAAATACCCGTTATTCATCCAGGGCATAATGCCGCTTGCTATTCAGCAGGGATGCAATCAGTCAACGACACCAAACCACCTTTCAAACTCTCCTTGGGCCAAAGCCTTGGACTCTGAGGATTCAAGCAGCCCTGAAGGCCTGTGACAGCAGGTTCACGAGGTCCCAAGTTCTGACCCTTCGTTCCCAGACACAATGTCAAACACAGAAAACCTCCTATAAGGTTACCTTTGAGATTTTGAAATATGGAAGCATATTTTAAATACTCTTAAGGCATTTATTAAATGTTCTCTGCCAAGATTTCACATTAGCTTAAAATTCAACTCAGTCTTTCCATCTCTGAGGTTCCCACCTCAGTGTTTTACATCCAGCATCGCGTGGTGAGCGCCCCACATCAGCCTCTGTTCCCCAGGTGAACCAACTAGATGTTAATACTGCTCTGCTATAAGGTAAAAGCTCCTAGATCAAACTTATTGGAAAAGGAGTGAAACTTCTGCAAAGTGCACTTTTTAAGAAGAGGTACTTTTTGCTTATGAAAAGAAACCAGTGAGTCCTCTAAGGGTAATAAAAGGGCATATTTTACAGTTAAGCACATGATTTGGAGTGAAGAATTCGGATGTGGCTCTGCTGGTCCAGGTGGTTAGTATTCTTCTTGTTCTTCCTGCGGGCCGCCTTCGTCAGGTATCACAAAGCCTTCCTGGAAGGGCGACAGGACAGAGGAGAGCTGTTACTGAAGGGCGAGAGAAACGAGAGAAACAACTTCTCCCCTGGGTTCACTCCGCTGGTTTACAAAGTCTCTTCCTGTGACCACTGCACCTGGTTTTATTTAGTCACACCGCAAAGGTGATTGCAACTTTATTTCCTGGGACAATGGAATTAACTCTCACGTGAAGCAAAAACTGAACACCATCCAATTTACCTTCAAAACTCACCTTCTGAGAGCGATGTCTATGTACAACCACCTTAATTTCATATCAAAAGTGCATTTTAAATATCTGAAGTTTACTTATGTCAATTATACCTCAATAAACTTGCCTGAAAAAAGCATCTTTACACTCAAAAGTTCCTAGCAGCCTTTAAAGGTCAGTGTTCTATGCTCTCTCACAATAACAACCTTCTAGCTGTACAGCATCCTTGCATCTGTATATGTGCAAAACACCCCCAAGAGCAAAACCACCCAACCTGAGCAGCATGGGAAAACCGCTCATGAGACCAAGAGCAGATGGGTGACTCCCATCTCTAGCTCGCTCTAGAACCTCGCAGCCACTGACTCCCAGGAAAGCCAGGCTTCTCCTTCAACCCCCCTTTAACTAACTTTTCTTGGCTGATTTACTAAACATGATTCCCAAAAATACTCCTAGGCCAAGAACCCTGTCTACATTATCTGGCACAGAACAAGCCCTAAGGATTTACGGAACAATCGGTCACTTATCAGCCATCCATTTTAATCCCCCATCCCCCGCCACCAATTTCTCAAAGTATGCAAGAACAGTGAATAACATAACAGTTTTAATATTAACTTATGTTTAAATAGTGCTACATATAACATACCATAAATCGTTTGCAGCTTAGGCCTACAGATTTTGCAAGGTATACGAAAGAGGTAGGAATGCAAGCATCAAACAATGAGCAACAACATACCAAAATCCTCACTCCATAGAAAAAATCAGCTAAGCTACCATGCCATGATTAGCATCAGCAGCTGTGGCTGCCCTTGCACGTATGGATCCAAACACACCTGATCACTAAGTACTTTGAAGGAATGGGAACAAGAAGCTCCCTAAGTAGCAAAGATCCATCCTGGCAGCAGACGGGAAAAGGAGCACATGCCTGGTTTACCAGGCATGTCTGGGCCTGGATAAAACAGAGGCAGGACCTCAAGCCAGGCCAAGGGGTGTAACACGTAAGGGTGAGGTGGGCAAGCGGGTGCTCCTGGCCAAGGGCATTTGGAAGCACGCATCACCTGCAAGTGGTAACAAACTACGCAAGCTGGGCAGGCCTGCCCCTCCTAAGTTCGACAGACCTCCAGCAGGAGTTAAAGCTGGGCAGAGATGCCCCTGGCTGACTCTGAGGGGTCAAAGACAAAGTCTTCTGGCAGATGTTAACTAGAAAACAACAAGCATCAGCACAGTTGGCCAAAATCAGATAGATTAAACTTATTTCTTCTTAGGTGGCAAAATGGGAAAGAAATAGTCTCACGCCGACACATACGTCTGTAGCATACAGAATGTCCACAATCCTCTGCAAAACAGGGTCATTTTCCCCCTCGTTCTCCTGGCAAATCAATTCAATGTTTCTTAGCTTTCCGAAGTAGAAATCTCTCTCTTTCTCCAAGTCTTCGACGGTAAGTTTCAATACATTGACCTGTGCAAGACATTAAGAAGAATGATACACCTGGCACTAGTGCACCAATAAGATCAACTTTCAACCCAAAAGTACATGTGGTCTCTACCTAAACTTCAATGTGGGCAAGTACCCCAGGAAAGGCCTGACTACACCCTGAAATGTGCAGGAAATTCTTAGGAGTGACAGGAGCCAAGACAGGGAAGTAGAATCAGAGAGCAGCCTCTGGATGACTGTCAAACTCAGTCCTTGCCCAGACAGGTGACCAGAGTCCAGGCAGAAATAAGGGAAACTGATCTTCCAAGAGACCCACAACGAGCCACGACTCCCACAAAGAAACTACGAAGAAATAAATCTCAATGCTCAGGCCAGGACTTCAGCTAGGCAGCAGCAATAAAGTCCTAATGGAGCTAGTGTTATGGCGTGCAACTAAAGCTGCCACCAGTGTCACCAAAATTTCATATGAACACCAGTTTGAGACACAGCCATTGCATTTTTTTTTAAGGATTCATTTTTACTGGAAAGGCAGATCAAATTTATAGAGAGAAGACAAAGGAAAAGATGTGCCACCCACTGCTTCACACACCAAATGGTCGCAAAGTCAGAACTGAGCTGATCCAAAGCAGGGAACCAGGAGCTTCTTCAGGTTCTCCCACACAGCTGCAGTGTCTCAAGAACTAGGGTTATCCTCTGTTGATTTCCCAACTATTTCACTTCTGACCCAACTCCTTCTTAATGCAAATGGGAGGGCAGTGCACTGCCCAAATGCTTGGGTCCCTGCCACTCATGTGACAGACAAAGATGGAGTTTCAAGCTCTTGGCTTCGACTTAACCCAGCAGTTGCAACCCTGCAGTTGTTGCAGCTATTCGGAGAATAATCAGCAAACAGATGTCTAACTCTGCCTTTCAAGTAAATCAAGCTCTTAAAAACAAATGTTTTGGGCCCGACACAATAGCTTAGCGGCTAAAGTCCTCACCTTGAATGAGCCAGGGTCTCATATGGGCACCAGTTTTAATCCCGGGAGCTCTGCTTTCCATCCAGCTCCCTGCTTGTGGCCTGGGAAAGCAGTCGAGGATGGCCCAAAGCCTTGGAACCCTGCATTCGCGTGGGAGACCAGAAGAGGCTCCGCTCCTAGTTTTGAATCAGCTCAGCTCTGGCCGTGGAGGCCACTTGGGAAGTGAACCAGCAGATGGAAGATCTTCCTCTCTCTCTTCTCTACGTATCTGCCTTTCCAATAAAAGTTTATTTATTTTTATTGGAAAGGCAGATACATAGAGAGAAGAGAGAGAGGAAGATCTTACCTCCAATGATTCACTCCTCAAGTGGCTGCAACAGCTGGTGATGAGCCGATCTGAAGTCAGGAGCCAGGAATTTCTTCTGGGTCTTCCATGCAGGTGGCAGGGTCCCAAGGCTTAGGGCCGTCCTCAATTGCTTTCCCAGGCCACAGGCAGGGAGCTGGTTCGGAACTGGAGTGCCTGGGATTAGAACCGGCACCCACATAGGATCCTGGCACGTTCAAGGCAAGGACCTTAACCATTACACTACGTGCCGAGCCCTACAAAAGTTTTAATTTAGTAACTATCACGGTCCTTTGTGTACTTTAACCATGATGTATCGTACCTGTAGTCCTAAAATCTGTAAGACAATTAAATTCAATATAACTCACCAAATGGAAACTGCATGGCATACCATGCAGCATAAAGCCCTCACAGACATCTAGATTTATGAACTAGGGTCATAAAACTGCATGAAAAATCCACTAAAGGAAGCAAAAGTGCAACTGCTGAGAACAATCTGCACAGCACGCATTCTGAGAGCCACAGGGCACCCACAAGTCATCCAATCCTCAGGGCTGTCATTGTGGCTTAGCAGGTAAAAATACCACTGATGCTGGAATATACCCATAGAGACACCAGTTTGAATTCAGGAAGCTCCACCTACTTCCAATCCAACCCCCTACTAACAGCCTGGGAAAGCAGTGCAAGACAGCCCAAGAGCTCAGGCCCCTGCCATGAGAAAGAAACAGATAAAGTTTCTGGCTCTTAGCTTAGACCAGCCCAGCTTCTTCCACTGCAATTATTTGGGGAGTGAACCAGCACACAGAAGACTAAGATAAAGATCTTGATATCCCTCTCTTTTTCAAATAAACAAATTCCAGGGGCCCGGGGATAGCCCAGTGGCTAAAGTCCTTGCACCGGGATCCCATATGGGTTTTGGTTCTAATCCCAGCAGCCACGCTTCCCATCCAGCTCCCTGCCTGTGGCTTGGGAAAGCAGTTGAGGACAGCCCAAAGCCTTGGGACCCTGCACCTGCATGGGAGACCCAGAAGAGGCTCCAGGCTCCTGATTGGCTCAGTTCCATCCAATGCGATCACTTGGGAGTGAATCATCGGACAGAAGATCTTCCTCTCTGTTCTCCTCCTCTCTGTATATCTGCCTTCCCAATAAAAATAAATAAACCTTTAAAAAAATAAAATATGAAAACAAACAAACAAAAAACCATAGGTATGCCTTTCTCTCAATCCCAGAAAACCTTCAAAGGGCTTCAGAAATCTGCAACACAGTTCTATTGTAAGGGGTGGTTTCCAGGTAGAAACAGGCTTGTGGCATTTCTGAACTTTCAACCTCCTATTCTGTTCTGGCACCTAAAGTGCTCAAGTGTCCCAAGGACTGCTCCAGGAACAAAGACAAGCCGGTCCTGGTCCCTGCAGCAATGCCTTTTCCCCAGAGCTGCTCACCTGCTGCATCAACTCAGCTGCTTCATCATCTCCATTGCCCACCCCGGGATTCTTGCGCACCACCCCTGGGCCAGCCTTAGGAGTTGCAGTAGTTCTCTGTGTTGAAATGGGCCTCTGTGACGCTATAAGAGGAGAGACAAAGGGTTAACAAGAACACCAAACAAAATTAAAAAAAAAGGGGGGGGGGGAAGCTGTGACCAATTACCCCCCACAGTTGATTAATCAAGAGAATCAATGCCAGCAAGCCCCAGCATGCAAGACAACATCCCCAAATTTCCTTAAAGTGTCCTTTATCCTAGCATTATGGTTAGATACCAGTTCTAGTCATCATCTTTCATGCCAGAGGTGAGCCCTTCAGCGAGGGGTTTTCTCCACTGCAGTGACTAGTGACAGGACTATCAGCTGAGAGAGACACAGTCATTCTAGTGTACAGATAACCCAGTTTAACACGACTCCCACCAAAAACTCAAGGCCAAGTTAGGGCCCTGACGTTTCACCTCATACTTCAGCAGGACTAAAGTGGGAATGAGGCCCATAAAGCTGGCACAGTCTGCTCACACCACCCATCACTTCAAACCTGTCATCTCTGTCATCTGCTGATTTAACATTTATTGATTTGAAAGGCAGGCAGAGATTTCTCATCCACTGCTTTTACTTTCCCAAATGCCACTGACAGCCAGGGCTGCCCAGGAAAGTGAACCAATGGATGCAAGATAATTCCTTCTCCCTGCTTTTCAAATTTATATATATAAATTGGTTTTATATATATATATAACCTTCCAAACACCCAGACTCTGTAACCCTTCACCCACAGTTCACAGGCCATTTCCTCCAGATAGCTCTCTCTAATATGTATACCCTGAAGAGTAGATGCTTCATTCAAGTACTATTCAACTGCTACCAGCATCTAAAATAAGAGATGTGCAACTGGCACCAGGGTGTGGCCAGCTAAGCCTCCATTTGCAGCGACAGCACCCCATATGGCCACCAACCCAAGTCCCAGCTGCTCCACTTTCAATCCAACTTCCTGCTTATAACCAGGGGAAACAGCAGAAAATGGCTCTGGATCCCTGAACCCTTGCAGGGGATGCAGAAGAAGCTCCAAGCTCCTGGCCCAGCTTTTGTCACTGTGGCCATTTGGGGAATGAACCAGCAGATGGAAGATCACTCCTCTAACTCCACCTTTTTAGTAAAAATAAATCTTTTTAAACACATATGAGATACACAGGGTTATCTGTGCAGTTCCCCCGTTCTAAACTGATAAAGAACAAAACGGGATTCTACGGAAGACCGCAAAGTATGGCTATACAAACTAGTGAATGAATGCTGAATGAACAATGAACGACTCACTACCTGGAATGCTATTATTTGGAAAGGGTGTTTTGGGGTGGTTGTAGTTTACCTGCACCACTAGAACTGAGAGGTTTCTTCGGTTTGTTCAGAGCTGGAGCGACAAGCGAGGGAGCCACAGCAGTTTCTTGACCTTGCCTGGCAGCCACAGGGTCATAGTCTTTTCCATCATAGTTTGCATCAAAAAACTTCTTGAACCACTGAACAAATTCAAAATTGTCTTGAAATTTTCCTTTTACTAATTTGTCAACAGGAATTATCTGTAGAGAAAAACCAAGACCTTTTAGCTCAAAGGGAGAAGTTTCTGGCAAGCATAAATCTGCACACACATCAAATTGGTATTAAATTCTACCAACAGGAAAAAATTGATGCTTCAGAGAACTTAACCACTAAGTCTCTGACATTTACAGAAGTTTTCTCCCTTGTGCCTTCAACAGAGTGCCTACTTTCACCAGACCCAGCGGGTCTCCCTGACAGGTGGCAGGGGCCTACATACTTGGGACTTAGCAGCTATGTATGATACTACATGTCATGTGTATAGCAGTTCATGTCCCAACAGCTCCACTTCTGCTCCAGCTCCCTGCTAATGCACCTGGGAAAAGCAGCAAAGTAGGCCCAAATTCTTGAGCCCCTGTCAACCAGACAAGAGACCCAACTGAAGTTTCTGGTTTCAGCCTGGCAATCACAACCATTTGGGGGAGTGAATCAATTACTGATGGCCATCTGAAGTACAAACCAACAGAGGGATGCATGTGTGCTTACCTGTGTGTCTACAGCTTTCAAACAGATAAAACCAAAAGTTAAACTATGTCTGGAAACTCAATGATATTCAAAATACAAACACTAATTTTACATCTCAAAATTAAAGTTAAACCAATTTCCATAAAATCCAGACACAGCAGTAAGATAACTGGGAAGTGTTACAAGCTTTATCAAGAAACAGTATCTCCCCAAAAAAAAAGTTTTAAAGGATTACCCTTCTAATTGGGGAGTAGCAGGAGGAAAATCTCCTTGCTTAATCCTACTATCCGATAGAACAGAAGCACTTGTGCTCATGGAGCTGCTGACTCTTTCTGATACCTTCCAATAAACAAGGAAGTTCCGCAGCACCCAGAGGGATCCTCCTTGCACCCTGTTACACAAGTTCACCTCCATTAAACCACTTAGTCTACATGACTAAGACAATTAGATCTCAGAAAAATAAATCATTACATCTGATTTATTTTTCCCAGTTGCTAATTTCATTTATGCTTAAGTAAGAAGATGGCAAGGAGAGGAGTCAGGGTAAAAGGGAAGAATTCTCCTTACAGGAATTCTATTTAACAGGAGAAAAGATAACTGTATAACTTAAGAAAATAGCCAAAGTCATGAAAATCTAAATCCTCAGTAACTAATGATTGTTAAGAAACATTAACTTAAACCTAAATGAAACGTACTTACTTTGTCTACACCCATTCTCTTAAAACCTGCTTGTAGTATTTTGAAGTTCTGGATGTATTCGTGTTCTAGCTTAGCTTGGAATTTGACTTTCTTCAAGGCAATGGAGCCAGGGAACAACATGTCCATAAACTGACAATACGCAGCCCCTGAAGGAACAGAACAGAATAATATGATTAACACTAGATAACCGACTGCTACTATTGTGGCAGCATGAGGAACTTTTCCCCAGATACACTTAACCCAAAAACCATTTTTTTAATTTTTCAAAAGATTTATTTTTATTGTAAAGGCAAATTTACAGAGATAGAAAGATGTTCCGTCCACTGGTTCACACCCCAAGTAGCCCCAACAGCTGAGCTAAGCCGATCCAAAGCCAGGAGCCAGGAGATTCCTCTGGGTCTCCCACATGGGCACAGGATCCCAAGGCTTTGGGCCGTCCTCCACTGCTTTCCCAGGCCACAAGCAGGAAGTTGAATGGGAAGTGGAGCAGGCAAGATTAGAACAGATGCCCACATGGAATCCCAGCGTGTGCAAGGCAAGGACTTTAGCCACTAGGCTTCCACGTTGGGCCCTGCCATACATGTGGGAGACTTGGACTTTATTCCTAGCCTCTGGCTTCAGCTTGGCCCAGCCCTGGCTGTCACAGTCATTTGGGGAGTCAACTAACAAATTACAGATCTCTCTGCTTCTCCCTCCCTCTCTGGTAACGCTACCTTTCAAATACATCAATAAATCTTCAAAAAAAAAAAAAAATCAAGACAGCACCATGCGGCCGACATGTTATTTATTGTAACAGGATGTAGGAGTAAACAGACTAGAAACAAACTAAATTCTAAATGCCCACAAATTGGGGGTTGACAGAAACTTATAACATATAGTCATATAAGAAAATAGGGAAAAGGAACAGATATTTCACACAGCTTTGTATCACCACTTCAAATGCCACATCACCTATCAGAGTGCCTGATGCAAGTCCTGGCCCTGCTCTCCAGCACAGCTTACTGCAGATAGTACTCCCTGGAAGACAGCAGGTGATACTCAAACAGTATGTGGGAAACGCTGCTGAATTCCTAGTTTTTGACTTCAGCCTGTCCAGACCTAGCTGCTGCAAGCACTTGGACACAATGAACCAACCCATGGGAGGTTTCTGTCTCCACCTTTTAAATAAATAATACTTAAAAAAAAAAAAAAAAGACAAAGTGGTATCTTGCACTTACAGAGAACACACTCCAGAATCTCAGTGATTCAATTTCTACCATTGAACTATTATGTTTAGCAGGGGAGACAAATGCACGGCCTGGGGCAGCGGAGGCCTCTGCCTGTGTGCACAACCATGAGCACTCAGCCTCAGCAGGCGGGTCAGCTGCAAACACCAGGGTTGCCTCAGGAAGAGGAACTGGTCAGCCAAAGCCAAGATGGAGAGGGAAACTTCACTGTTTATTATTTGATTCCTTTTAAATCTTAAACCATTTAGAAAATCAGACATTCAAAAAATAAATACTGGACTGGGGTTGTGATACAACAGCTCAAGCTTCCACCTGGACACTGGCATCACATCTGGGGCACCGATTTCAGCCCCAGCTGCTAAGGAAACCTACATGACATTAGTCAGCAAACCGAGAAGGGGCTGGAACCCACACAGCTCTCAGTAGACACACAGACCTTGACAAGAGCCTCAGAAGCTGCTCCTCAGGCCCCAAATGCGGACACTCCAAGAGGGCAAGCTGGAGGGGAGAGCAGAGGGGCCAGGCGGGGCGGGTGAAGGGAGCAGCCTGAGAGAGCCCGGCAGCAGTGTGAGGAGAGCAGGCAGCCTGAGTACCAGCAACAATGCCTGACAGCAAAGCCAGGGCTGTCAGGGCCCCACAGCAAGCTGAGTAAAAGGGAATCCACATCTGCCTGGGGACATGGAGCAGCTCCCACTCTGCACAAGACAGGAGCCATACGAGGCCAGACTGGAGGACAAGAGAACATCCTGAGAACACCGTGAGAGGGGCCCCTGCATGTGCAAGAAATAAACCTTGAAAAAAATGTTAAAAAAAAAAAGTGGCCTGGTGCAATAACCACATGGGAGACTCACAAGAAGCTCCAGGCTCCTGGATTCAAAGCAGCCCAGTTCAATGACTGCTGGCATTACTAGGGTAGGCAGAGGGTTCTAGATCCCATAGACAAGATTGTAAGCAGTGTAGTATTTACTTTCTACAAATTTTCTAACACAGCCCTGACTTCACCTCCTATCTGTGGCAGATCTGGCTTAGACAATTCAGACTTGCTGCTCCCCATGTCAGGACCCGGGCACAATCAGCAGGACTGTCATAGAGGAAGTATAACATGCTTATGGGAGATAATTATCAACAGCCTGTAGCTTCTACAGTTTGATCTGGTAATTCTATTTCTAGCAGTCACTGAGGAAAGAAGCAATTAAGAGTTATTTAAAGAATACATAATCTAGTCATGACAAATAATGAAAAAATTAGAAACAATCTGAATGCCTAACATTTAGGATGGGATTAAGTAACTCCAGCAAATCCATGGAAAGGAAAAAAAATACTATATAGCCATTCAAAGTAATTTTCCAAGTTACACACACACACACCCAAGAGGCGATAGAGTGGGGGATGGAATCAAAACAGCTGTGGAGCCAATCAACAGACACCTCTCTCCCCCTTTCTTCTTCTAAATGGATGAAGTGGCTCTGGCTTGGTCTGACTTTGCTCCAGTGCTTCCTGCGAGTGAGAACGGCACTAATCAGGGCAGGGATCTGGCTGAGCAGTTCACGTGCTCCTTAGGACGCCACAGTCAATGCCAGAGTCTGCTCATGTCCCTCTAGCTGCTGACTCCACCTTCCGGCTACTGCAGGCCCTGGGAGGCAGCAGCAAGGGCTGCAGTTTGCGCCTCCTCAGGGGAGAACTAGACTGAGTTCCAAACTCCCAGTTAGGTCCCCTCACTACCATGGGCATTTGGGGAATAAATCAGTATACAAGCACGCTATCTCACTGCTACTGAAACAAAACTAAACAAATGCCACTGAAGACTATTAAAACCATAGTACAACTGTTGCCCTCAAATAAAACATATGAGATGAGGAAGTGTGGGCTGCAGACTCACAAAATGGTATTTGCCACAGGAGTCACATGGACCAGAAGCACACCCTTGCTAGGCAGTTCCTGTTCCAAGTGGCAGCAAGACTGAGAGAATAGCCAGGCAGCCATTGGCGTCTTTGGGGCTCAGCAGCCCTCCCTCCACTCAGGACGGACTTGCTGCTTTCCCAGAAAAGATGGCTTGGGGATTTCTCTTACCTGAGCACAACTGCTCGATCTTGGTCAGATTCAGTTGCAGAGACTCATTGATCCAGGCCAGCATGTCATGTCGACTTAGGTTATCACTAGTGACCGACGTCGAGTATACGTTCACCGCCATCTTCTGCAACATGTGAGGAACAGAAGAAGGCTCATGTCAGAGAAGGCACACAGGTGTGAGCAGGTGTGCCCTGAAAACTGACATGAGCAAACTTATGAAAACAATTTTCTTGTTGTTTAGTTTTTAAAAGGTATGAAAGACAGAGTGAGAGAGAGAGATCTTCCATTTACTGGTTCACTCCCCAATGGTTTCAACAGCTGGGGCTGATCCAGGAACCTAGAATTCCATCCAGCTCTTCCATGTGGGCGGCAGGGTCCCAAGAACCTGGGCCATCCTTTGTTGCTTTCCTAGGCCTTCACCAGGGGTCTGGATGGGAAGTGGGGCAGCCAGAACTCAAACTGGTGCCTACAGGGGATGCCAGCACTACAGGCTTAGCTCAACCCATTGTGCCATAATGCCACCTCCAATGTACTCCATTTACATCTCCTATTCCTACTTGAGACCAAGCCCAAGACACAGGATTTCGCCACAAGCTTGTACTTCCACAGAAAAATGTGAACCGAAATAAACTGCTTGATGCCAGTAGGCCCAAAACTTAAGCTCAACCTCAACCTAAATCTTTTTTGAATACATATACTTAAAAGCCAAATCTCCAAATGGCTACAACCATTGGCACTGGGATAGGCCAAAGCCAGAGGCTTACCTAGATCTCCCAGGAGGGTAGCAGGGGCCCAAAGGACTCGGGCCACCTTCCACTGCTTTCTCATGTGCTAGCACAGAGCTGGACTGAGAATGGAGCAGCCAGGACACTAACTGGCACACATATGGGATGTTGGCATGGCAGGTGGTAGTTTAACCACTTACACAATCATGGACCATTTGGAATTTGAGTGATATAAGGTTTGTTTTATTCGTTTTTTTGCTTTTGATATAAAATTATAAACTACCAGAGGCACTAAGTAAATGGATAAGGGGCTAGTGCTGTGACTGAAGCCAGCCCACCACCTATAGTGTCCTATGAGTGCTAGGTCAAGTTCCAGTTGCTCCACTTCTGATCTGACTCCCTGCTCATATGTCTGGGAAAGCAGCAGAGGGTGGCTCAACTCTCTGAGGCCCTGCACCCATAAGAGACAAAAGAAGCTCCTGGCTTCAGGCTGGCCTACCCCAGCTGTTGGGGCCATTTTACAGTTTATGAGGAAAGACCATGGAGACTGAGTGCCCGGTTCCATCAACACTCTCACGCTCCCCAAGAATATGCTGCCCCTTCACCTTTCTGCCAGGCTTTCAAATTCAATAATTGTACAGCAACAAATTTCATTTAAAATGTTAGAAAATGGGCCCAGCATGATAACCTAACAGCTAAATCCTTGCCTTGCATCTGCCAGGATCCCATACAGGTGCCAGTTTCAGTCCCGGCAGCTCCATTCCCCACCCAGCTCCCTGCTTGTGGTCTGGGAAAGTAACAGAAGACAGCCCAAGTCCCTGGGACCCTGCACTGGCGTGGGAGACCCAGAAGAAACTCCTGGCTCATGGCCTTGGACCAGCTCAGCACCAGCTGTTGCAATCACTTGGAGAGTGAACCAGCGAATGGAAGAGCTTTCTGTGTCTCCTTCTCTAAGTCTTAACAAAAATAAATAAATAAATAAATAAATGTTAGTAAACGTGGTGCCACCATCTATATCAGTTTAGTCACTCTCACAAACACCGATTTCTGCCTCTTGCTGGGCACTCTCTAGGGACTAGGAATGAGAAGGAAAGAGTATGGTACGTGACCACAGGGAATTCACACTTCAGCAATGAGAAGCCCGACACCGACCCAACACACTATCACTTCACCTCCCAACTCAGCTGGAGGTTGGGCAAGGAGATCAGGTATCCCAACAGAGCAGCCCCACGGACAGCTGACCGCAGGATGCTACCCCAGTGAGCAAGAACTGCAGCACTGAGGTGGGAAAGGAGGTTGGGGGTGGGCGGCAGATCCTGTGAGGCTCTGAAGACCATTGTGAGAAGTTCAGCAATTGTCCTGCTAAGGGTTCCATTGCAGGGCTTTATGCAGCACAGAATTTCATGACCACTGAAGTTTGGTAACAATGTCCTGTCTGCGGGCAGGCAGAGACCAGACAGCAGGCCAGGACGGCTCAAATAATGTGAGATTAAGGGCAAGCTAAACCAAGTCCAAATGGAATCCCCGCTCATTCACTAAGAGGACAGACTCCACAGCACTCGCTATCATGTGATCTTGACACAACTTGCCTCATTCCAGGAGACACCAACATTACCGTGAGCTCCAGGCCCTCTGCTCCCTCGAAGCACTACACTCAGTCCCTCCACCGAGTGACCAGGGTGTAAGCTGGCTTCCCAGCATCCAGCTCTGGCACTTAGCTGCTGCCAGCCTGGGAGTTGTCCAGAATTTGAAAGACAGATCCAGGGCCAATGCCATAGCATTTGTTAAGCCTCTTCCGCAGATACCGGCAACCTATATATATATATATATACACACACACACATACCATATACAGGTACCTGTGCCACTTCCGATCCAACTCCCTACTAATGTACCTGCGAAAACAGCAGCAGATGCCACAAGTCGTAGGGCCCTTGCACCCACACAGGAGACCCAGAGGAAGCTCCAGCCTCCTGGCTCTGGACCAGCCCAGGTCCAACCACCGTGGTCACTGGCGGAGTGAACCAAGCAGGAAGAGCTCTCTCCTTCTCACTCTGTAACTGCCTTTCAAGCAAAAATAAGCGTTTTTAAAGAGACAGAGATCTACCCACTGGATCTCTTTTTTATAAGGTATGACTGAGGACTATAAGTCAGTGACTTCTCACAACCCCACAGCTCTTGCCTCGGCACCCTGCAGGGATCAGGTGTTCAGCAATACTACCTGTTCAACACTCTTACATCCCTAACATCAGCGAGGTAAAGAGCACCTCAACCTAGCTCCTGGCTCCACTGAGGAGTTAATCCCTGCATCCTAAGAATACTTCATTCAAACCCCCGTGGCGGGAATCACTACATTAGCTTGTACCTCTTATTTTCTGAATCGTTCCCATCAAATTTTGGGAAAGAAGCAAAGACCTTCAGATTCCGAGCCAGGAAGACCTGGGTTTGAATAGGATATTGTCCCTCAGCTGTGCAAGTTACCTGAACTTAACACACCTCAGTTACCTCACAAGTTAACACTACCGGGACAGACGCAATAGCCTAGCAGCTACAGTCCTCGCCTTGCATGCGCCGGGATCCCATATAGGCACGGATTCTAATCCCGGCAGCCACGCTTCCCATCCAGCTCCCAGCTTGTGGCCTGAGAAAGCAGTAGAAGACAGCCCAGAACCGCCTTTGGACCCAGAAAAGGCTCCAGGCTCCAGGCTCCAGGCTCCTGGCTTCGGATTGGCTCAGCTCCAGCCGTTGCTGCTGCTTTGGGAGTGAATCAGCAGATGGAAGATCTTCCTCTCTGTCTCTCCTCCTCTCTGTATATTTGACTTTCCAACAAAAATAAATATATTTTTTTAAAAAAAGAATGTAGGTAGAAATGAACAAATAAATGAAAAAGCATGCTATGTGCAAATCATATTACCCAATAGCATGGAGAGACATGCAAACAACGTAGTCCCAGGCCGAGCACTGTAATCCACCCCGGTGACATCCATCCATACATGGGCTGTCACGTGTGTCACACAAAGTAAAGGCAACTGGTAAAGCCACGTGCAGCTCCTAACCACACCCCGGCTCAAAAAACGTTAATGCCCTTTTGTCATCACGTAATTAAGAACTCTTTCATTAACCAACATTAATACCTGGTCCCATGCACTCAGAAAGTTCTGCAGCCACTAAATACATGGGATCAGACACCCTGTGGAGGTGCAATAAACTACTATTAATTGGCTCTCCCAGGCAGTCCAAGGAGAGCCTGGTTCTAGGAGCTCACCTGCCAGGGCTCAGCATAAGACCCACAACCACAACACTTGGAAGAAAAACACCCTCCTCCTCTCTTCGTTCAACAGGTCTCCTTGCAGGTGTCCAAACGCTCTCCATGCCGGCACTGGACACTAACACCAGACACCGCACGCAGGGAGCAGGGAAGCCTATGGCAGGGAGCCAAGGCAGGTACCTCCAGGAAAGACCAACCTCACGCTCTGGATCCCAACACCATCTTCTGCACAAAGCACCAGTGAGGACCAGGAGAACCAAAGCACAGTCCATCCTACACACCCGACTGTGGAAGAACCTCCCAAGTGGCCCGCGGAGTGCCAGAACACCGCCCGCAGTCCCAGACTCCTCATTTGTAAAATCAAGATACTATCTCTTGATAGTGTGACAGTGTGACTATCAAATGACACAAAGCCATATCCAGCACTTTACACAATGCTCGACACCCAGCCAGTGCTCAACTAACAAAAGAGCTGCTGTCATGACGGCCCAGAGAGATCCCATCTGAGAGGTGGACGTCAGGTCAGGCAAAACGTCCCTCGAGGCGCCTCACCACCCCTCGGGGCAGCAGGGTAGTGAGGCCTAGAAAAGCGCTGTGCCCTCCCAGAATCACACAAACCATCTTGTCCACGGATTTCTTCTCTCATTTCCCACCTCCCCTCCATGCAGACCCAGGCCTTACACGCAGAACACGGCCAGCGCCTTGCCATGAGGCTAGCTGGAAGAGCCTGCCTCACGTTTCTCCAAGCACCAAGACCCTTCAAAATGGTCCCCATTCTGCAGACTCGGAAACAGAGGCGTCCCCACCCCCACAACCCCACCTCGTGGCCCCCGCGCACCCAGCAAGGCCTACCTCGCCCGCACCCGCACACGCCTGCCCTGCCCGGCCCGGCCGCCGCACCGCTGCAGGTCCCACACACCTTCCGCGAGAGCCGCGGGGGCTTCCGGCCCCAGGCCGCGCCCACCCGCCCGAGCAGCGCGCGCGCCGGGTCACGGCCCCGCCCTGCCCCCCACCCGGCCCCACCGGCTCCGCCGCGCGGAACGGCCGACCGCGGCCCGCGGAGAACCTGCCCCGCCGAGGCCCGGCCCCCAGCCGCCGGCCCGCGCCCGCCCGCCGACGCACCGCCTCTCGGCAGAACCGCGATCGCTGCCCGCGCCCCGCTCCGGTTCCGTCTTCGTCTCGTTCAAACCGCCCGACCCCGCCCGCTCGCCCGCGCGATGACCTCACACGCTGCTCCACGTGACGCGCCGACGTAAAGCCTCGTCACCGCCCTCCGGCTCCTTTTATAGCGAGAGTCTCGTCCTAGCGCCGAGGACGGGGCGGAGCCGAGCCGATGATCGACAGCTAGAATCCCTGGGAAGCGGAGAGCCGAGTACCGAAGCAACGAGGACACGTGGTCGGGGACGGCCAATAAGACCCCGCCTCGGGCCCGGTGCGACTCCGCCTAGAAGGCGGGATCCATTTACAAATAGGCCGAGGCAGCAGACAAGAAGAAAAAGGTGTGTTTTGCAGTCAAGTACAGTACTTGTTAGGTGTGGGAAGTCTCCTCAGATGGGGCCGGTCTAGGGCATGTGAAGATAACCGGGAGGAGTGCCGCCCACAGGATAACCGACCACGGCTACTTAACCCACAGAGACCCCCTTCCTCCTCCGCCCCATCAAAAGCTGCCGCCCGCCCAGTTAGGTGCAAAACCTTAAAAACCCCAAGGCACAGCCCTCAAACCCCTTTGCCCAGTCACGTCTCAGGCGGAAGGCTTCATTACTACTTCAGATGCACCTGCAGTTGGTACTCGGTTTCTTATTTCTGTTTTAAGAACCCACCAAGGCCTCGAGGCTAGCATCCTTGGTGGCCAGCGGGGGGGTTGGGGACACTGAGAACATGGCTTAAGGTGTGTACTTCCCTTGCTGGCCTCTGTTCACTAGTTATCCATCTTCGTTTGCAGAACCTGGAGAAACTAGACTGTTGTACAAACGTGAGGGCAGCAGCGGTAAACACGAGGCACACCATAGGAGACAAGGGCAAGGGAACAGGGGTAGGGGTGAGGTGCGGTCCAGCTGGACCACACTGCAGGTCAAGTGGACTGGACTTGCCACAGCCACAGTCTCCTTGAAGGCCACAGAGAGGTAGACAAATGGCCGTCTGGCCCCCTCCTCCCCGTCCTTCTCGCTAGTGTGACCACATATGTAAAACTGACCTACTTCCACCCCTAGCTCGAGCCCTACCTTCCCTTTGTCCGTCAGATGGCCTCACAGACCACAGGATGCCTAGGCATGACTGAGAAGGGCAAGAAAGGCTTTAGACTCAAGTTTGGTGGAAAGGAGCGGGCACCCTTAAGTTCCTCATTCAGTCACATGGGGAAAACCCCAAAGCTCATGGCAAACCCTGACCGATGATCCTAGGCTCAGTTGACAGCTAATACTGTCTATTATAAGCAGGGTCTGAAAGGAGAAAGGAGGGGGGAAACCACCAGGGGAGTCCATCACTGATGGGGGGACATTCCAGACATGTCCAAGGTAGGGGAATAGGTAGCCTCCTTCTACGCCCTGTGCAACCTGCAAGGGAGACCACCAATGTCCACCACAGGGAGCAAAGGCCCCTAGACCAGATCTCCCAGGGACCTCCCCCAGCAACCAGGGCTGTCACCTGGGGTTCCAGAAGAGAGGTGTCAGATTATCCCTTTTACCTTTTCCTGCCCCCAAAATGGCTTCCAACTTTGACCCCAGGGTGCTCTCCACTTCAACCACTCTTAATAACCCCGTCCCTATTTTGGGGTGGGATATTTTAACCAAGGTCAATGTGGGCCTGGGTCAGAGGAAAGCAGCCATTGGATACCAGAGGGAGTAATGGCTGGCTTCAGTAGTTATACAATATCTGGGGGACCATCAGCCTGGTTTTTTTTAAACGATTTATTATTATTGGAAAGTGAGATACACAGAAGAGGGACAGAGAGGAAACCTCCTTCCATTGATTTCATTCCCCAAGTGGCTGTAACAGCTGGAGCTGAAGCCAGGAGCCAGGAACTTCTTCCTGGTCTCCAAAGATTTGAGCGCAAGGTCCCAGGGCTTTGGGCCACAAGGAAGGAGTCTGCTTTTAAGGTTCAAAGATTAATTACCATCATAAACAGCCACAGACCTCACTGTCATTAACATTGCATAGAAGGATGACTCCTGTTATCACAATGGCATCATCAGAAGGGTTCATACCTTCCAGGTACACAGATGTGCTACTTCAGTAACCCAAACCTTAAATGAAGCCACCACCCAAAAGACTGGGCCATGTCCTGGAGGTTGAACAAAGCAAAGCAATCTCTGGATGCCTGGTTGAAACTTGCTTCCAAACCCAAGAGTGACACATCCCTCTAGCAAGATTGCTCCCCACGACTGATCCTCTAAATTCACCTCACCTGGAAAGCTTGCCCATCTCCTTTCTTAGGATCTCGGGGTCGGGAGCGTTTGTTTTGCTTCATCCTGCCCTGGAATGTGCTGCAGCACTGTACGCAGGATGGCTTAATAGCAGCCCAGGGGAGGAACCTGGGCCCAGTGGACCTCCCCATGGCAACCCTGACCTGGGAACTTGGAGCAAGGTAGGACCTAATAGCACTTTCTCTCATCCTGCAATTCCCAAAGGCTATTCCCTCCACAATGCGAACCCCAAGGCAGCTTTCCTAAGGAGCCTAACTGTGCCTAGATTCTCATCGTCATTTAACATAACACTAACCCACACCAGAACACTAGTAACCATCAGCCACTTTTCCCTGGCCAAAAACTGGACAGAGAAGATCAGGCTAGGTTAGCCACGTGGTCAGTACATGGTCGTGACCACAGGTAGATTTCAGTCAGGGCAAAGAAACCACCCTACACTAAAACCTGTGTCCCACCAACACCAGGAAGTTCCTAGGGAATCCAAGAACAGAAGCACACAAAGATCTCTAGGGCTCATTTCCCTATGCATCTGCAACTGGAATCACAAGCTCTCCAAGCAGTACATGTCCAACCCCAAATTCCACGAATGCCTGGATTCCCATGGGTCTTTCCCCAACAACCTTTGCTCCCAAGTCACACACACACCCCCCCCCATAAGAATAAAAGGAACACAGGACTGCCATTTAGCGAAATACTGATTTTAATTGAACTTAAGGTAAACTCTAGGCATCGTCATCTTCAAGCCCAGAAATTAGCAAAAACTGTTGAAACAAGGCACCCCATACTTGTTCCATGGCTCCAGTTGTAAAACAAAATCTTAATGAAAATGTTGAAACATAAAAATAGAAGTCTGAGATTTAAAAAAAAAAAACCATGTATAAAAAGCCCCACAAAATTTGTCACAAAGTTGTTGGATATTCTACAAAATAGCACCAGTAAGAGTAAAAGGTGTTAAAAACCATTACAGAACAGCATTTCTGAAATGCAGTTTGCTTGGCTTGGCCGCCTGTTCCCCCTAAAAACATGGAATAAAAAAGAATTTAAAAACCTGCAAGTAGGGGAATAAGCTTCTACTGCAATTTCCCCAGTCATCTCTTAGATGAAGGGGAAACTGATAAAATGATCACCGAGTTAGTAGTCAGGAAATCCTACTGGGGTTGGGGGGAGTGGCGGCTTGCACCTGTGTTGGGGAGGGGGCATCTTCAGGAGATGGGGGTCTTACCAAAGGTCCCTCCCTCCATGCTTCTCACATAAGAAGGGGACAGCTGGACTTGGCTACATAATAAGGAAACAAAGCCCACACCTTCCTAAATAAACTTCCCCTGAGGCTTCTCCTACACTTAACCCGGAAGGATCTAGAGATAAGGGTGGCCCAGGCCCTTGGATCTGTGTGGGGGGGGAAAAACAGCCCTGAAAGTGACGATGACATCATCCCTGTTGACATCATCATTGTGGGAAATACTAAAGGTTCCATCAGCAGCCTCCAGCGCTTGCTGGGCCTTGCAAGTGTTGTATGCCACATAAAATTCCAGAACATACACATCCATCCCACTCCCACTAGCCCTAGAAAAAACATCGCGGGCCCTTAAAAGTCCCTTCACTATATGTCTACAGCTGCACACTCCTATATCCTGGAGGCGCAGGTATCTTTTTATTCCTTTTATCATACCTGTCTTTTGGATGATTTGCCAGCAGCAACCTGAGTACTGAAGAGCTACTGGCGTGACTATTTTGGTATCTTAGCCATTTCTCTGAGCAGTAACACAAGATGAGGGAGAAATGTCATCTTTCTACCTACTTCAAGTTTTTCTTGTTTAAGATTGGAAAGTAAAAATGAGCACCGTGTTTGGCTACTTTTAGCAACCAGGTCCGAGTTGTGCACAAGGAGGTGGCACCATCCTCCTGCAAGAGACAGGGTCAGTTGGCTCCGAGGTCCTTGGGCGAGACCTCACCCAGCTGAGCTGAGCAAGGGCAGAGCCTGGGGGTGCCTGGGGTCAGGAATGACTTCTCCTGATCCTGGCTTGGCACACCCCAGGGCCCAACAGGCCTGGGTGGGGACTATTCACAGGCAAAGTAGTCCTTCAGTGGGGCAAAGAGGTGTCGGATGACAGGCACACTCCAGGACCTCCCGAGCAGCTTCTGGCGGGCTCCACGGCCCATGTTGGACACGTCCGTGTAGTGTACAGGAAAGCCGAAGATCCTAGAGGGGGTAACCGAGACAAGAAGAATGCAGTCAGGAGCTCTCCCCTCCAGCTCACCTCTGCTGAGTCCTCCCTGCACTCAGTGGCCAGCACTGCCCTGTGCTCTAGTCCCAGCTGGACATGATAAATACATGGACGGCTGGCCAGTCATGGTTTCTATCTTCTCATTGAGATATAGTGTCACCCACAGAAACAAGCCAGACCCGTCATCGACCTGTAGCCCTATCTATAGGGGATGGTACCCAGGGATCCCAAGTTGAGGTCCCCTCTTCAAATTCCATCCAAGGAAGGTCCACACAAGCCTGCAGGCAAATACCACAAAAGGCTTGGTGAGGAACTGGAACAAGCTTCCAGGTTTATCATCGATACTACTAAACACAATGGGGCAGTGACATGTAACTGCAAATCATGTGCAAAGTCAGTGCCTCAGCCTGCCTGCACCTGCTGTGCCTCACATGAGCATCGTGACATCTGTCACACTACATACCCTCTCACAAATCCACCTCACTATCTCCCCACATGGTCCACAAAATACAGACACCATCACAACCTTGAGTTTAAATGGTCAGTCATCTATGAGGTTATTGGTCAGAAATACTTTGACAGAAAATGAAATAAAATGATATCAAGTCTTTGGAATGCACTCAGCCTTGAACATGAGAAGTAGAACAAAAACGGTGGCAAAGCAACTGAAAATGCAAGAGCCAGCTGCTGATAGGAAAGTAGATCAAGTTATTCAAATGCATTCAAAGTGAGAAAACACAGACCTGGGAAAAGGCTATAAGCAGAGCACTTTGGCCAAAAGAATGCTCAAGAAAGAGAATGTCTGCAGAACTCTCTGGATGGGGTCCTCGTGCATTTCCTGTCCTGGCATGTCGGGACAGGAAGTGACACATCAGTGACTTGAGGTCTCATCTTCTGCCGTCTCAGCCCTCTGACCCTGCCACAGACTTCATTCTTCACTCCCTTTGGAGGGACAAGGCCAGCTACTCTCATCCTACATGCTCATCAGGGATGATTAGGGAAGCCAAAGCCCAGAGATTTCAGTGCAGTATGGGTGGCAGCAGCCTAGCAATCTGCCATCTCCAGTAAATCTGCCTTAGCAGAAGCAGGTGACGAGGGCATGGAATAGCCAGGCTGCTGGATTACTGGCCATGCTACCAACTCAGGCAGCTGGATATACAATACAGGGTTTAAGTGCTGCCTCCCTCACCTCACCATTTCCACTAAGAATCAAGGAGTAGCTCTAAAGCACCCAGTCCTACCACATCAAATAGGCAATGGAACCAATAAAAGTGAGGGCAAGCAGCCACCCACAGGCATTCCCTCTTGTGCAGCCTTGCTCACCTTTCGAGCTCAGTGCACCACAAAACATCTTCTTTGCCATTCATGACAACAGGGAAAAGTTGGTTTTTCCCCTGTCTGATCGAGTTCGACTTGGTGGTTATTGTCTGTACTTTCTTTAACTGGAGAACAAAATGACATGAAGTAAGCACAGGAGGAAGGGGTTTGGGGAGGAGCTGGACCTCAAAAGCAAACACCTCAGGAAGGAGGGGTCACAGAGGACACTGGAAAAGCAGATTCAGAGGTGCTTCCCACAATCAAGAAGTGACGGAGGCTCAGGGAGAAACGTGATTGAATGAGATCATGTGGGTGCTGAGAAGAAAGCAGTTACTGATCAAGTGAGATTAAGTCAAAGGGGGGAAATAAGCGTGCAGACAGAGAATGATCGGAGGGGATCTTAATGTTGAGCCTTAGATCCAGGGAAGTCATTTTAAGACTATGACTCAACAGGGACAGCAATCATCAGCAAGAATTGTGTCCCTTTGTATCCACTCCTGACCACTGGACAGCCCAGCGGCCTTTCCCACAGTGATTAGCATTTGCTTTCCTATGGTCTGTGCTTGAAGATGAGATAGTACAAGCGTGGGGGAAAGAGGCCCAGCACCAAGGAGCAGGAGGAAGCTGAGTGGACACCACCAAGGTTACGCCAAGTCCGCGTGGGCGTGAGGCGCCAGAGAGCAGACGTGAAAGGAGCTTACCTTTGCTATCCTATTGAATTCCAAGCAGTCCTGCAGCTCGAGCTTATCGTTCTTGGATGCTATCACAGGCCTGGGAACAGCCAAAACCCATTACTCTCTGCTATCTACAAAGGGGCCAATGCTACAGGGAGTGGCCCTGGCAATGAACTGGCAGCTATGTGAGGATTCTAGAAGTCAGTCTGGTTACCCCAGGGGCTTTCATGCTGGCCTTGAGTCAGGACCCCTAGGGCCTCGCAGAAGGAGACTCAAGTGGAAAACTACCCTTTCAAACTTTCCCCCTAAAACCACCTTTGTACACGTAGAGGCAAGCAGATGCCCAAGGCGGGTAAGGGACAGAGCAGCATAGCACCAAGCAGCACAAGAATGCACAGATGACCACAGGAACTGCGGTGTGTGCTGAGACCTCAAGGCACGAGAGAGCATCTGTGTCCACCAGTCGCTGAGGAATCTCACAAAGACAGTTCCTTCCTTCCTTTCATCTGGCAGGTTTCCCAAATTTCAAAAGCCACTATCCCCATGGGAACCCCTCCTGAGAACTTAAGGGCATTGTAGGTAACAGGGGTACAAGGACACAGCATTGACCTACAACCCCTAGATTTGGGTAGTGTCCCCAGACTTGACACAAGGCTCAACCCAGGCCTTGTTAAGCAGCATTCTTCATTTTATGTCACTCAGCTCAGTAAATGCTGTTGTTGATTTCCAAAACCTCCTGCCAAGTGCACAGGCTTGCAAGGTTGCCCAAAACCCAAATCAGGCTTGATCTCACCCATTACAGTACATCAGCCATTGAGACTCTAGCTGCCCAAAGCCTCCTATGCCAAATGGGGGTTACATTTTGAGGCAACTGCTTCTGATCCACCTGTGAATGTATCTGGGCCCCTGCCACTCATCTTTTAGACCCACATACATTTCTGAGATCCTGGATTCAGCCTGGCTCATATCATGCTATTGGTGCCATTTGGATAGTGAATCAGTGGATGTCATACAGCCATTTATTTAAAGTTAACCTACATCGTATCACATTGAAGAAACCCTAAATTTTGTCAGTGTCGCTGCCATTGTCTGTTGTCCACCTTCCACTGCCTCTAACAAGGCTGGAATGGATGCCCTAGTGTCTGGAATGTGCTGCCTCTGGGACTCAAGCCTCTGTTCCACTTCCAACCTGCTGCAGAGCTGCGCTTCCCTCATGTCTGTGCTCCCGCCAGCCTGAAACCTTTTGCCTTCCTTACCACCCCCTCCATCAGGAGGCATGAATATGTTCACCACAGAAATACCTGAAGAACTACATGGCAGAAACTTGGATGCTGAGGTAATAAACAATTTCATTCCAAATATGGGCACGGCACCTTTTGCCATCTCAATTAGTAAAAATGCATCCAAGAAACACTCCGGGCTATTCAAGGACCCACTCACCTCTGCTACACTGCTGTTATGTGGGATGACTTCTTATAGTTACTCCCTAAAGGAGAATATTTTTAAGCTTAACTCATTCGCATGTCAGAGATATCACAACTCTCCCACTTTGCATCTTAATCAGTATGTGTTAATTACTCCCTAAGCCTTGAACAAATGAGCCCAATCTGCCTTTGCTATCTGAGTTAGAAGGTGAATGAAAGCTACACTTGGTGGTTGGGCACCGCTGGTCTGGGAAAGCCCCCGTGCACCATATGGCATTTCTCAATGAGCATCCTGTCTATAGCAGCAGTCTACAGCAGCTGGGAGGGGTCAGTATTGATGCTGACCACATGGAAGCTGTAAAACCAGGCTCATCTGCAACATTCAAAATTAGAGCTGTTTCCTAACAATAGTGCAGGGGTGCAGATGGAATGCAGAGTTCTTGTCTTCATTTACTCATGTAACATGCCTTTCCCTTGAGCCACATTACCTGTTCATCCCAGGTAGGTTGCCCCAGAAGTATCGGGCCCTGTGAGCAGCAGATACTTTGATGGCATCAATCATTACTGGATTGCACTGTGGGGAGAGAGAGCTGTTAGGTGGAGGGTCCCACATTTTCACCCAGGTGTTCATCAGAGCAGGAAATGATGCATGCTGGTGCACACTGGCTATGAAACAGCACATTTCAGGTTTGAACAAAATCTGACAAGCCAGGTTGATTGTGGCCATACAGTGGTATGCAAGATATGGACATACAACACATAGTTGTGTAGCCATCTCTTTCAGGGGACAGAAAGTAAGCTTTTAAGGCACTTACAGCAGGGCTTTAACATAAAATGATAAACTGGATTTTCCTGTAATTTGTAGTTTCAGAACATTCATGAATAAACCTTACTGCAATAAGCCTTAGCTGCTCTATGAAAAGCCATCAGCAGTACTGACTCATGGAAGTGGAGCAGGGGACAGAATACACACAGGACAGACGAGAAAGTGAAAGGGAGGGATCCCAAAACACACACACACACACACACACACACACACAACCACCAGCAGAAAAAGCCACAACAGGTTCTTTCATCCCCTCACCTCCAGGAATCTCGAGATGTCCCTCTTGTCGCCAACTTTCATGGCTACAACATTCTCAAACATCCAGAAGAATGGCCGGTCGTCCCCCTCCTTAGGTCGTGTGTAATTTAGCAGGTGGTAGAACTCAAAGAAGAGGCGGCCTGTGCCCTCTATGTCCACAAAAAAAATAGCAGAACTGGGTTCCTTCAAGCCATTTACAAACACTGTCCCTACTGCCTGCAATAAATGTGCACCCAAGGACGCTACCGAGCATAGGGCTAATGCCTTATGTCTCTAACTGGGCCAGCCGTGCCAGGACATAGGCAGCCAGGAGCTTTCTCTATGATTTGATTGACAAGGGGACAGACAATGCCCATAGGCTAAGGCACCAGTAAGGTCAGAGAAGCCAGCAGTGCAACCTGGCATTGCACACTCAGTCCACATGATGCCTGGGGGCAAGGAAGGGGTTGCTCACCATACAGGCCTTTCCGGGCAGGATTCACATTGGAGAGGTCGTTGCACGGGCTCCCACCAATCACCAAGTCAAAGGGGCCCCACTCCTCAATCTGTGGGGGAAAAAAGTTTAGGTGAAGGCAGGAAGACTGATCAGAAAGCCCAGGTGATATCGTGCTTGAAATTACCTCCACTTAAACCCTGAAAGCCTCACGTGCAGTAGCTTGGGAGTGGGGCAGAGGGGTGGGGAGTGGCAGGGACAGAGCACTTACATTTTTCTTGGTGATGTTCCTGACATCATTCACATATTTGATATTTCCCTCATGCTTAACAGTTCCGACGGCAATGGATTCCTCACACACCTCCGAAGCGATGTACGTCTCCACCTTGATGCCCAGTTCCTTGAGGACCAAGTACCCTGTGGGCAACCAGAAAGACCTGCTTGGGCAGCAGCACCTACTAGCAGTTCCTGGGCTGGCTGCCAGGAAGGTATTTCTCTACAATGGACCATGGAAGGGAACAAGGGACACAGTGTTTGTTGCTGAACTCTATTCAGACTACATGGGTCCAGTGCGACAGGCAAGTGACAACACTATGACCAAGAGTGGGAGTCAGATGAGATGATGTATAGTTCAGAGATTTGGTAGGTTTTCTGAGAAACAGCTGACACAGGTAGTCCCTGGCATCTGGTGCTGCACCTGGAATGGGGCCTGCAGCCTCCTTCGCTTAGCCTCTTACCAGGTTACAGTTGTTGAAGCCCCTGCGAACTCACCTGTTGCAATGCCATCAAACAAGGACAGTACTCGAATAGGCCGCCGCTTAGCTGCAGGAATTGCAGGGTACAGCTTGGGGGCTTCCTGGTTGGTACAAGAGGGAGGTTGAAGAGGTGACATGAGCACAGTTCAGAGATCACCCCCACCCTGATCCGTTTAGAATTGATCCTTCCAGGCCTCAAGCCCTAATGTGGGCCACAAAACTGGGGCATGCATGGCCACCTTATCCATTGCATTGTCTCCTTAGCTCTACTAACTACACAGAACTCACTTTATCAGGACCCTTCCAAAGGCATTAGACATCCATCACTCTGGCCTAAGTGTGTACCAGAAGTGGCTACAGCCCTGCAACTCACATATTCGTGCCCCATGTCGCTGGTGAAGAACGTCTGTAGACGCATGTTCCAGTCCTTCCGCCGGCGCAAGACGCCATGGCACCGCTGTGGGAGGCACATGTAGCAGCTCCAGGGCTCTTGCAGCTTGGCATCTGCTGCCGTGCCAGTGCCCACCAGCACCTCCAGACACTCCACACAGAAGCACCTGTACCCAGGAGGAAGGGGGAGCTGTATCAACCAGGAAACTGTCCTTTGGGGCCCAGTAACAAGTCATTTCAAACCCACAAGTCAGCCTCTGGATCCCTTCCATTTTAGGCAATCTGGTGCTTTACCCGAGCTTTGCCTGTCCCCATAACATAGCACTATAATGGTGCTGTGCTGCTTTAAAACTTTCAGAACCCCAGCAGCATCACTCTGTGCTTGACCTCCACTGCGTTAAACTCGCAGTCCACATGCCAGGGGAACCTGGCCAGCACAACAGCTGCCTTGCATAGGCAGTAACCACCCAGGGAACAGCTGGGGCCCCCGAGCTCACCGACAGCAGCTCGTGTTGCTGCACAGTAGCAGCTCGCGGCCCTCACAACACACAGTGCAGTAGGACTGATAGCCATCGTCGTCGTACATGTAGAACAGCTCAAGGAAGCGATCCTGGCAGCCAGACAGAAATGCTGGTGAAATTGGAGACCAGGGCCAGCTTGGTCCCCTGTACGCTGGCTGTACGCCCTAGAACACGACCTCAGAGCTACACACTTGTGGCCCGGTGGCGTTTCCAGGGACAACTGGCAGCAGCAAGTGTATGCTGTGGAGGAGCTTTAATGCATTGTCCTCCCCCTTGGAGAGGTAGGGGGATGCTGCTCCCAGGGCTGCAGGAATGGCTCCACCCACGTGCTCTGTGCCAGGGAAGCACAGAAGTGGGCACCGTAGCCAAGGCCACTGAGGGTACAGGAGGACTCACCCGGCAAATCTGGCAGAGCCCACCCTCAAAGAGCGGGTGGAAAGACACAGGGTTCTTTCTTCCGCAGGACAAGCAGCTGTCTGCAAGAAAGACAGGGAGTTGGCCATGGCATAGCTCTGCCCTAATAGCAGCTGTTCAGCATCCACTGCAGTTGTGTGCCAAGGAAGCTGTGCTTTGGGATTCACATTCTGGGCACTCCACCATATTTTCAGGATCCTCATTTCAGAAATCACAAAAGCAGGTCTCAGTATACTGACAAGGAGATGCTCTTCCGGCCAGGGATTGGCCTACCAAGTAGGAAGGCCAGAGGCTCAGCTCAGAGCACAGACACTCCTGTCGGCTCCTGGCATGTAGGGGCCTGGGAGGGGCTTCCCACTTGTCAGCTGCTGTAGTGACTGGATCTCCGCCGACACAGACTTAGTTATCCACATTCTCTGGAAGGGTGCCTGGGGTCTACTTCTGCCCCACTGTTGCACCAAGCTCCTCACAACATGCAAGGAGTTAGGCTAAGTAGGGAAGCTAAGTATTCTGCACTTGTCACTCATGTGGAACACGCAGAGGACCCATGGCTCCGGGATTCAGCCAGGGAGTTGGGGAACAACACAGTGAACTATCTAGTAAAGGTATCAAGCTTTCCATCACTCACAAACTAAATACACTCTTTAGGTTAACCAGAAGAGAAAACACATAACAGAGCAGTTTATAACTTGGACCTTGCAGATTTATTGCCTGACATGGGATAGTGCCCAAAAGGCTTGCTGGTCACGGGCAGGAATTTTCCTCCCCAGGACTGCCTTATCTCTGACTGAAGGACAACAGAGTGAGGAATGTGTCGAGCAGACATTAGCCAGTAGCCATGCCTGGGGTTTTCTAGTCTAGCTTGTCAAGCAGACAGAGCGGGTCAGTGGTGAATGCTTGCAGTAACCAAAGAGCTGACCCTGCACATCTTCCACAATACACAGGTGCCCCCCATCTTCCTCTCAGGACTGGGGTTCCCCAAGGCCAAAGGAACCCAGCCTGTTTCCTTATCTTACTGCAATAATCAGTATCATTTCTAAAAACTGTAGCATCTAGGTAAGGTTTGCAAGGAATGACATACAAGCCTAGAGTTAAGGCCCAAGGCTGGGGTTACCCACAAGCAAGGAGAATCAAAATCTACCTTCTAGGCTCCCCTTGTTGTTGGTCACATCTGCAGCCATTTGTTCTGTTTGGAAAAAAAGAGAAGGCCTAAGATGAGTGAGCTATACCCACGTCTGTGAGGTCAGGCCTTGCAGCCCTCTGCCTTCTCCCAGTCACCTCGGGTCTGGTCCTCCTCTCCCCGGTCCTTGCCATTGTTGTAACAATTGGTCTTGAGGCGCTTGGGCGGAGGGCAATAGTCCGAGGCTGTGGAGTCATCAGCTGTCCGTCTCCGACTCTTACTCTCTACAAAAGATGAACACAAGGCATGCATGGCTTGGATTGAGGCTGTTCCAGAACAGGACCATGTGATTCCTGGGCACTACTATGGCTAGGGGAGCCCATATTGGTTGTATGGGGCGAAGATGGGTAACTTAGCACACAAGCTAGTTCACATCCCCCATCATCCAGATCCAGGCCTTCTGCTTACGGACTTTCTCATCATCTATGTGCACAGAGTAAATGCTTCCAGGCCAATGCACATCCTGCCATGCTAAACATGCTTATATAATAAGAGAAACAGGATACTGGTCATGTGACTAGAACCTATGAAACTGATCATCAAAAATGCTCATAGAAGTTGACATAGGGCCCAGCACAATAGCCTAGTGACTAATGTCCTTGTCTTATATGCACCGGGATCAGATATAGGCACCATTCCATATCCCAGCTATTCTACTTCCCTTCTACCTCCCCAATTATAGCCCAGGAAGGCAGCAGAGGATGGCCCAAAGCCTTGTGATCCAACACCCACACAGGAGACCTAGAAGCTCCTGGCTCCTGGCTTTGGATCAGCTCAGCTCTAGCTAAGCAGCTCATCTGGCGAGTTAACTACTAATGAAATAAAATCTCATACCAACAAAAATTACATCTATAATTAACATTGAGACAAGGTAGAAAGTAGCTCAGAACAAGTGCACAGAAAAGCAGAAGGGTGCACACCCAACAGTGCAAACACAGGGGAGGTGTTTGGGGGCAGGGTGTGAGGGGATTCGGGCTGGGTTCAGGTAGAAGAACTTGATTTTTCCCAGGTGACCTCAGTATCAGCAAGAAATCTCCAGTGAAGGAAAAGAGAGGCAAGGGCGGGTGGGAATACCGTGTCTCCGTGCTTCTAAGCTCCTATTGCCTGAACGGCGCACCTTCGACTTATTAACCACTTTTTGGGGGAAAACAAAACAAAAAATAAAACACATAAATGCACAAGCTGTAACACATTCCCAATCCAGCAGTTCCAAGGTAGCAAGAGAGAGGAAGGGAAAGAGGGCTTTGATTAGCATGTCAACAGGGCTTTTTCCTGATGCCATTGTCCCATTATGGCCCTAGGCAGCAGCTAATTGCCAGCAATTTGCTGGATGCTCCTTTTTGGGAGAAATTCCATCTCTAACAAGAAAAGTGACAGTAGAGAAGCCAGCCAGCTAAGGCCCTGGGATTGTCCCTGCAGAACTTGGGGGGAGGGGGAGAGAGGGCAGTTTTTGCAGGGCTGAGCCAGCTGCCAAGACCAAGGGACACCACTGCCTGCCATCGTCTTCTCCCTCCGCACACAGGCCTTGTCTCACCTGGTTGCTTGCTGTTGTCAGGCTTGAGGCCTTCCTCACCAGTGGGCTTGAATCCCCCATGGGCCCACTCCAACATGGGCTTCAGCTGGTCCTCCAGAGAGTCCCCGGGGCTGGTGGAAAAGGTCTTGCCAGCACGGACCCTGGCTTTCTGCCAAAAAGGATAGGCAGAACCTGTGATGAGAACAGGCAGGGGCACAAGCAGAGCCTGCCCTGGGAATCCCCCAGCTCAAGCCTGCACACTGGGCCCTTTCATAGTCAGCCAGCTGTCCTAGGCTGCTGGTATGTGCAAGGACATACCAGCTGGGAGCTAGGCCAAAGGACGGGGGACACTGCAGGGAGGGGAGCGATGCTTCACACAGGCTCCTGGGGGAAATGTGTCAGTCAGTCCTCCTCAAACGCAAACCACTTAGAATGTCCTCCCTCCTTCATCCACAGTAGATGCTGTCCCTGCAATCTCCAACCTCTTCCTTACAAGGAACTCCTACAGAAAGACAACCTGGCCCAGGACAACACTTGCTGGGTTGCTGTGGTCCCATGAGGGTGTCCTGGTGGTCCCTCAAAATCACTTCCTAGAAGGAGGGTTGGTTCCCCATTATTCATCCTTCCTCACTGAGCTACCAACTGCAGGAGTCCTGGGAAGGTTCTAGAACCAGCCACCAAAAAAAAAGTATCCTCCAGCAAACTTTACTCCATTCCCCACTGCTACTCCTCCCTTCTGAACCACCTGTGACAATAACATGGCCAGTCTGGCTTTTTAGAGTTTTCTTGCTTCTCCTATTTCAAATATATTAGGTCATCCCTTTGTCCTCCTACCCCTAAAGTACCTCAAGAGCCTGGAACATGGCCTTCCTATAGGAAACCAGCTTATTAAAAGTCGCAAGATTGAAGTGCTGGCTGAACAATCCCAATGCGACGAGCTTGTCCGCAGAAACCTAAAGGAGAATGAGATCACTGGCAACAGAAATCATCTCCCACTTCCCAAGAATGAGGCTTCACGGAGTGGGTGTGCATGGAGAAACACATTCTGCTCCCTCTGCTGGTCAAACCAAGCATCTACTTCTAGTCTCTTCGGAAGAGAAGCCTGTCCACACTTTCCCAGGGAACAAATGGCAAAATCCAGAACATATCAGCAGCTCCACCTGTAGGACCTCTGTTCCCAAATCTGCCCTCACCCTTCCTGGCTTGTTTACCTCCCACCTGGCCTTCTGAGTGTAGGCCTTAACCTGACTTATCGGGCAGTCAGGTGAAGCATGCATTAACTGTTCTGCCTGACCTGTGAAAGCCGACTCACCTCTGAGAATTTGCCATCGCCAAACCACTGTACCCATCGCATGCCGGACATGGCCTGGCGCTTCGAGGTGCTCTTCCAGGACACTACCATAGCTGGCCACCAGGAGAAGCCCTTGATCTTGCCCCACACGAGGTCCCCTATTCCAAACTCCTTCCCATCCTAAAAGAAAACCCACATTAAACAAATGAGACATGAGCCATGCCACTTCTGCTGTCACCATCACTGAACCTGCGTGCCACCTGTTCTCAGAAAAATGTGGGATGCTCATGAAAACAGAAGACTTGCCTTCCATGAGTGCACAGAAGAGCAAAAGCAGCTTTGTGCTGGAGCTAGCACTGTGAGAAGCTGGTGGCTGACACCATCATTTTCCCAGCCCCAAGGCCCATTAGAGACCATGGAGAAGGGTTCCTGATGGCCACAGGAGACACACAGCTGGAGTTTCTAGCTCCAACAGCCCTGGCTGGTACAGGCATTGGGAATCCAATCGCCAAACACAAGATCTATGCAGCTCTTTGAAATTAGATTTTGACAAAAAAGCTTCCTGGGCCTAGTAGCTAAAGTCTTTGCCTTAAAAGCACCAGAATCGGGCCAGGCACAATAGCCTAGTGATTAAAATCCACACTTTGCACGCACCAGGATCCCATATGGTAGCCAGTTTCAATCCCGGAGGCCCTGCTTCCCATCCAGCTTTCTGCCTGTGGCCTGGGACAGAATTGGAGCATGGCCCAAATCCTTGGGACCCTGTACCCACATGGGAAACCTGCAAGGGCTCCTGGTTCCTGGCTTTGGATTGGCTCAGCTCCAGTTGTTGTGCTCACTTGGGGAGTGAACCATCGAACAGAAGATCTTCCTCTCAGTGTCTCTCTCTGTATATCTGCCTTCCCAATAAAAAAAAAAAAAAAGCGCCAGAATCCCATGTGTACTGGTCCTTTTGAGGACCACACCTCTGAGTAATCCTGCCTGTGTGAATTTCACTGCATCTGCCAAGCCCAGCTGCTATGGCCAACTAAACTGCCTGGATCAAACCCTTATACCTGAACAACAGGCTGAACCCAGTACTGCACACAAGTCAGATCTGAGCACATGCAAGTGCCTGCCTTCTACAAAGGGTAAATGTGAGGAACCATGTTTCCTACAGAAAACATACAAAGTCAAATCAGCTGTTGTGTGAACAGCAGTTCTGGTAGGTCACCAAGACCCTGGAAATGATCCATTCCCTTTGTAGAAAGCCAGGTTGGTGGAAAGTCCTTGCTCAGGGCACCTGATACTCTGGACCATCTGTATCCCTCTCTGCGTCCATCTGGGAGGATTCCAAGCCGTCCAGCTGGCTGTCCTGCAGAAGGCCAGGGTACGGAGTACTGCTGCTCTGGGGTGTCGCATCATCGTCCGTGAGGTCAATGGTGAGGTAAGGACTGGCAGGGGACTGCCATGGAGTTCCTCCGGAGGCTGTGGCCCTCCGTCTCAGAGACTGTAGACAGACCAGAATGACAATTCACAACCATGAAAACAAAGCAGGTGGGTAGCTGGACAATTGTTTTTTCCCCCACCGTGTTCCCAGCCAGCAGAGAGTGAAGGAAACCAAAGAACAGAGGCTATGAAACATGGTGTTCCAGGGTTCAGAGGGAGAAACTTGCAGTCATGACCATACCAGGAGATTCCAACACCAAGCTTTCAGAGCATCCCCAGTTTGTGAGCTTAACCTTGCAGCAGCCCAATACCCAGTGCCAACCTACTGGCATAGGAACCTGGCTGCTGTGAAGACTGCTCCAGCCAGGAAGAGGGGAAGCCACCATCCATCTGTGGAAGGAGCTTCCCAAGCAGACCAGGAGAGAAAGCATAGTCCTGACAAGCAGGGGGAGGCGAGAGAAGCACTGGGCTGTACACCAGCCCAGCGAGCGAGTGAGGAGGCCGCCCTCCCGTGGCCACGCCAGGGCGAGGGGGCCGCTGCACAACCAACCCTGGTAGCCGGGAACTCCACGGGGGATTCTTCTACGTGATTGCGGCCCTGCCGGCCTCGGGTGGAACGAGTAGACCGTGGGGAGGGCCTATACCTCTCCCGGCTGGAAGAACTGTTGTTATTTCGGGTGCGGACCTGGAAGCGAGAGAGGATAAGCACTTGGCCTTAATGACTGGGGCGAGAAGCACTTGGCCTGGATGTAGCCCAGGAGACCTGGTGGCCTCCTTGCAGCTGGAAGTAAATAGGTGAAGAATGTTGCAAGGTATAGGTTGTTGAGCACACTGGGCTGCATGATCATGGCACCCATCAACTGAAATGGATAAGAATCCTTTTTTTTATTTTTTTTTTTTTGGCCAAAAATTAGATTGGCTTTTTTTGGGAAATAAATGAATTATTGGAACAAAAGAAGCTCTTGACAAACAGGACTATGTTACACCCATCCCATATGGTTCTTCCCTGGTATCTCAGCTGTCCCACTCGATTTCAGCTCCTTCTCTGGCACCTGTACACAGGCAAGAGACCGGGAAGAAGTTCTTGGCTGCAGACTCATCTTAGGCCACTGTGGATCAGATCGGTCTCTCCTCTCAATATGTCTGCCTTTCCAATAAAAATTTTTAAAACGTGTATCCTGAAGGTAATTTGGCTTTGCCCATCACACAGGAATCCCATATGAGCACTGCTTCCTGTCTGAGCTACTCTTTTTGTTGTTGTTAAATTTTTTTTGAAGTTTTGAATTTTATGGCACATGAGCTGCTCGTTTCAGATCCAGTTCCTTGCTATTGGCCTGAGCAACCTGAACACGGGCAAGCACTTAGGGTCACATCACTCACACTGGAGCCCTTGTTTTTTTTTTGGGTTTTTTGTTTGTTTGTTTGTTTGGTTGGTTTTTTTTTGCAATTCTCCACTGGTTCTTTGAACCATTTGAAAGAAGAAATCAACAGATGGAAGATGTGTCTCCCTCTGTAACTGACTTTGAAAGCAATACTTGTATAAGTGACTTCCACCCTGTAGTGGGTCAGTAATGAACATCATACACGTAGTGTCAGTCCAGGTGACCACAAGCAATAATTTTGTCTTGCTATGAAAGGACTGGCATGCAATTGGCAGTGACCGATCCGATCTACCTGCCAACTGTCACTCCAGACAAGGTCACCTGTTCTAACTGTATAGCCAGGCATTCTGTTCCTGCATTGTCTTTGCTTCCCAGTCAACTCCCTACAAATGTATTCCAGTACACAATGGATGACAGGTCCAGGGATTGAGCACTCTGCAACCCAAGGGAGACCAACATAGAGTTCCTGGTCCTGGATTTATCCTGGCAAGTGCTCCAAGTGGCACATTCCTTTCTGTGACTGCCTTTCAATTAGTGGACCTACTTTAAGATTCCCTAGGCTGGGCCCGGCGCGGCGGCGCAAGTGGTTAAAGGTCCTCGCCTTGCACGCCCGGGATCCCATATGGGCGCCGGTTCTAATCCCGGCAGCCCCGCTTCCCTTCCAGCTCCCTGCCTGTGGCCTGGGAAAGCAGTCGAGGACGGCCCAAAGCTTTGGGACCCTGCACCCGCGTGGGAGACCCGGAAGAGGCTCCTGGCTTCGGGTCGGCATAGTATCGGCCCGTGGCGCTCACTTGGGGAGTGAATCATCGGACGGAAGATCTTCCTCTCTGTCTCTCCTCTCTGTATATCCGCCTTTCCAATGAAAAAATAATAAAAATAAATCTTTAAAAAAAAGATTCCCTAGGCTAAGCTGTTTTCCGTGATAATACTGGCATCTTACATGGATGCTAGCTGACTGCAGACTGCGGCTAACAGTCTTTAAAATGCCACACGTAAGTGCCTTACGAAATGAGATGCAGTGTTCCTTCAGTGGCAATCCACAGCGTTTCTGGTCAATCACCAAATGTTCACCTAGGCTCCCACTGCCCCGGGAGGCTCCCACATTTCTCGGTTGGGCCCATGCATGGTAATGACAGTCCAGCTCCATGAGCATAGGGGACTTACTGCTGGGCTTTCAGAGCGAGTTCTGGTTTCCCGGAACAGCTTAGGCATTGCAAGCGTGTCGGAGCCATCTCCATCTTCACCTTCATCTCCATCACCCGTCAGGTCCTTCAAAAAGGAAAACAGATGACTTTGAAAGTAGTGAAGCAGTCACAACCAAAACACTTGCAAATTTAATTGTACTGCAACTTATCATTGATCCAAGATACCAATGTGTCTGCTATGGCTAGCATACGTTCATAAATAAGACAGGGAGAAAAGGTAAAGAAATCAGAATAACACACCAATAGGGAACAGCATCATGCAAAAACACTAATCTGGCTGGGCCAGGTGTGGTAGTCTAGTGGCTAAAATCCTCACCCTGCATATGCCAGGAGCACATGGGGGAAGTTGTCCTAATTCCGGCAGCCCAGCTTCCCATCCAACTCTCTGCTTGTAGCCTGGGAAAGCAGCAGTGGACAGCCCAAAGTCTTGGGACCCTGAACCTGTGTGGGAGGCCTAGAGGAGGCTCCTGGCTCCAGGCTTGGGAGCAGCTCAGCTCTTATCATTGCAATCACTGGAAGAGTGATCCAACGGATGAAAAATCTCTGTGGATCAGATTTTCCAGTAAAAATCTTACAAAAAAAAAAAAAAACTGCCTTGGTAGTAATTAAGAGGCAAACTTTTCACAATGCGCTGCTCCAGTGACACGAGAGATGGGCAAGCTGCTCTATCAAGATGCTTCTTGTCCTAAGGTTTGGGAAGCAAAGAGAACCCAGCAGCAGCCGGATGATGACCCATCTCTGCAAGCCCCACGCCTTACTCGCAGGCCTGTGGAATGGAAACAAAACCCTATGGAATGGAAACAAAATCCAAGCATGTGGGAAGCCAGGTTCGTCTTAGCCATGCTGGCCAGAATTAAGCGAAGGCAAATCAGGAGCCTCTTCCAGGTCTCCCACGTGGATGCAGGGAACCAAGCTTTGGAAAGCCCTCTACTGCCTCCCCAGGCCACAAACAGGGAGCTGGGGAAGTTATTTCTTGGTTGAGTGGGCTGTGGCTCCAATCCAAGTCTTTCACTCCCAGCCCCAAGGCGCAAGGGAAACTCTGTTACCAGTAAACCTCTGCAGGGCCTCTCCTCAACACAGAAACAAAAAGCCGGAACCCTTGCAGACAGAGAAGTTCTATTTTCAAAGTGACCAGGTGAGCACAGAAAGAGGGAAGGGGAATACACCTGCAGGGAGAGCCCGGAGGTGGTTATCTCCTCCCCTCCAATAAGGAAAAAACACAAATCTTTTAAAGCAATTCAAGATATTTAGAATCCTGTAAATCCCACTTTAGTTTTGTTAATCAATTACTTTGTGGATTATCAAAGCACAGATTCATTGAAAGCTAAGTCAGGCACCTTTTCCTCAAAATAAATGACCAAGGTAGGTACGTTTTCTGACTTTAAAGGGTTTAGCCAGATTTAAAACATACTGTCACAGGTACTTAAGAAACATCCCATCAAGAGAAAGATCTGGTAATTACTAACAGAAATGATTGAAATATTTTCACTTGCAGCTCAGAGTTGTTGCCCATTTGGCAAAGCTCCAGGCCTCACCCTGGACTCCTGACAGGGAATGGGGGCCATACCTGAGTGTAACTCAGCAGGCTGGACACTTCCCTCTTGGACAGCCGTGAACTTGATCGGCGGCCTGTGGAAGAATTGCGAGTCTGTGCATGCAGGGACAGATTCGGCCTACATGGCTGCTTGCTGGAGCTCTTCCTCACGTGCCCGAGGCTTGCCCACACCTCTGATCCTACACCACTTTGATCCCATGTTCCTCCCTAGCACCCCTCACCAGTTGCTCCTACAGAAAGGCAACAGACCCATGGTACCAAACACAATGCAGAGGCGCCGACCCCGGATGCTTTACCCAATGCAATGCCTGCCCCGTGGACCGTGGTTCAAGCGCTCACGTGTGCCAAGTGGCTATTGTGGTTCACAATGCATGAAAGAGGGTGCTTCCGCCCCTGCAGCAGGTTCCCCGGAGTGGGACAATACCAGCAGGCACAAGGTGATGCACTCAGTGGAAAGCCTTTCTCCCACCCCTCGTCTCATACCTCTGACTAGGCTCTCCAGTTCAAAGATCCCACCACCTGAAGCCACCCAGGCTCCCTGGCTGAGGTACTATACTATGACCCATGTCTGTCAGCCTGGGTAGGCGTCCCATCTGGTATAAGCCCAAGAGGTCAGGGCTGTGAGGGGCAGGGGACCAGGATGAGAGTGGCCTCTGGCCACCTAGCTTGTGGTAGGTGTGAATGGCTTGCCAGCTACTCCCCCAAAGCTGCCTTGTGCCTGTCAGATCCCCCACCCCAAGGGCCCAGCCACCTCTGATCTCCGGGGTGCGGATAGCCTCCAGGATGGGGGGCGAGGGGGCGTCCTTGGAGTCCGAGGACTGGTCGCTGCAGGCCCCGTTGACGATGACAGAGTCTTCCCTCCCGCTGGCGTCCTCCTCTCCATTGAGGTGTCTGGTGTCTCCCTTCATTGTTTCCTGTGGGAACAGGCCAGGATAGGCAGGGTGGAAGGGACCAGGAGTAGGGGGTGGTAGCATTTCTTTCCCTCCCTCCCAAACTTCCTACCACTGTCTCTTTCAGTCACCCCAGACAGCCACCAGGAACCCCTCTCTCCTGCCCCTGTACCCCACATTATCTGCCCTCTCACCAAACTCGGAGGCTCAGGGCTGGGTTCCATGTGGCCAATGCACCCAGGACACAGGGACAGCTGGCCTTGGGTCTGAGGCCCAGGCTGCTCTGTGAAATTAGCCGGCCCCTTCAAACAATGCCATTTAGGACCTGGCTGCCCTGGCCTGTCCGCTGCTGGTCCCAGCCGGGGTCCCTCCTGTGCTTGGCCGCCTCTCCCTGGCCAGCCTCCGCAGGGCCTCAGGAAGCCCGTGCATTATTTTTCCCTGCTGACCCCTTTGTTTGCTCTCTCCCTTCCCCTCAATCTCCAGGTCCTCTTCCCACCCGCCCCCTCCTCCCCCACAGAACAGCTTCTCTCCTCTCCATGGCAGCACAGGCCCCGCCCCATCCCATTCTCAGGGGCCCATTGGTCCACTGGGCTGTCACTCACTCCTCTCCTCCCTCACCAGCTGGGCCTCAGAGTCCCAAGTTCCCATGAAGGGAAGCCTGGAGGAGATACAGGCCGGAGGGCTGGGGGCAGTTAACAGGAGAAGCCGTAGTCCGTTCCCAGACACATTTCTGAAGACTGGTCTCCCCATGACCACCCCAATATCACCAGGCCAATCACCCAAGGCACAAGACCATGTCTTCTGGGAATTGATGGGCCTGGTGCATGGCCTGCAACTTGGCTGTGCATTTAGGCATCTGTCAGATGAAAAGCCTTTACCCCCAGTGACTGTCCTCATTCTTAGGTTAACTGGCCTACCAATGGGCCAGGTTAGTCTCCATGGTCCAATAAATGCATATATACTCAAAGTGAGGCCAGGGTATCACAGCGACAACAACTTCAGGGCAAGAATGCCAGGTGTTGGTATAGTTAGCACCTGGATAAGCCATGTGGCTAGGACCTGCATCCCACAGCTCCCCGCCTTAGCCGGAAGGTTGTTTATAACATACCTTTCAGTCTTGGAACCCTATCTCGACAGGGCTTCCTTCCAGTGCTGGGCTGGAGCCTCCTACCTGCTGATTCACCAGCCCCGTCTGCTGATTCACTGTCTGAGGACCAGGCTAGTCCTCCAGGGTACCTTCTAGAAGCTACACCGTGAACGGCTGGGCAGGGCACTCACTGGTGCCTTGCCCACCAGGGGGCGCTGCGGACCCAAACTCAGAGGGCCTGTGGCGCCGCCACGCGGATTGGTCACACTGGGCACCCTGTAAACAGCACACTTGCACAGGTCCAGCCCACTAGCACCTCCAGGCTTCTGACTACAACTGCTACATTTCAAGGTCGTGACTCAGGGTGGGGCAGCTGAGATGCACATTACAGTGGTTACCTGGTTGCACATACATGTGCAGGCCTACACATACAGCTGGAGGCAGCATGTCTCACTGTGATGGTCCCAGTTGCAGGGTTCCCAATTCCTGTACTCCTCGCTTTCCTTTCCCCTTCAAGCCACCACACACGGGCCAGAGACATGACTGGCCCAGCTCAAATGTGCTCGTTTCCCCCCAAGCACTGACCTGGAAGGACAAGCCAGACTGACCCACAGCCAATCAGGAAAGCTGCTGCGGGACAGCCTGGAATAATAATTAATTTCAAGTCATCGCCTTAGGTCAAATGCATGGACTGAGTAACTCGGGCAGCTGGAGACTGGCCCTGAAATGTGAGCCTCCAGGAGTGCCAGCACCTCAGGGAGTTCCAAGAAGGCACACGGGGACATAGGGAGCTCCCTCCACCCAGGGGGTATCCTCCCACCCAGGGAGCAGCTCCAATCTAGACCAAGTAGAAGCCAGACCCTGTCCATGTAGCCAAGCCTGCTGGACCCTGCAGCCCAGGGCTGACAATCATTAACGTGGCTGGGCATCCCTCAGGGCACAGAAGTACACCCCACTGCTGGCCAGTCTGTGGGCAGGGCACCTTCCTAGAGTTACAGAAAGACTTCACTCATCTCCCCCAGAGCTAGCCTCATAAACTCTGGAGAGAGGGGGCACCAGCTCCTGGGGGTGCCTGCTGTACTGCTCAGCAGGTCCAACTGGAGTACTTCCTGTTGTGTAATTCAATCTGATCACCCAGGCTGCACCCTGGCTACCTCTACAGCAGCTGTCTGCAGCACCCCACTTAAGACTTCCCCCTATTTCCCACCACTAGCCTTCCCATTTCTCAGACTCCAAATCCCACCCCCTCCAAGGCCACCTGTGCAGCTTCTTACAGCTCCCCATGTCCCCAGAGGGAGGGGGCGCGCTCTCCCCATAAAGCTCCTTGGGTTGATTCCCAGGAGCTGGAGGCTGATCCATGTCTCATCAGAGCTGAGGTGGCCTCCTCAAGCTCCAACTATACAGGCTTTCAACCTCCATCTTGCTGAAGGAAGAAATGAAGGTAGAGAGAAGCTAATCACCCAGACCTAAGCAGCAGAAAGTCCCTCATCCTTTATGTTCTTGGACACAGGGAGGTAGCAACTGATTCAGGCACTGGTGTATGATGGTTACAAAAACTCCATCTTTTAGCCTGCAGCTCAATCTCACATTTCCTAGCCACTGTGGCTCAGCTGGCACAGTCCATTCTAATGGTACTGTTCAGTGTGACCACGTTCCCCCTCAAGAGGGATAAACTCCTTTCCTGTGCTGTGCAACCCTGTATGTGGAGTAGTTTATCAGTGAGGTCCCTCTTGCGGGCATACCACAGCACAGATAGCTCTTGCCCCACCCATCCCACCCTTGAGGCAGGCCCTGTTATCAATGTTTCACATAAGCTCAAATGTGCTAATTAAGTCAACCAGCAAAGTGGCAGTGCTGGGTCTCATGCCCAGGCAGCCCAGGGCACGTGTCTGAGCGACGGTGCCAAAGACAAGGCAGATGAGAGCTGTAAATGTTATGAACTCGGCAGCACCAGTCGCCCGAGGGCCTGGGCAGTTACCTCCACAGGAAATGGCCGTCTAACCTGCTGAATGCATGAACTGTGTGGCCCTTTTCCAAGTGCTGGGGTCTAGCTGGTGACCCAGAGGTGGGCAGCAGCATTGGGAACAGGTCAGACATGCTCAAATGCAATGTGCAGACCTGTAGGGGGGGTGCAACAAGAGGCCTGCAACTACCCCACCACCACCCTGTCCCCACAATAGACATGAAAGCTGATGTCATTCACTTCCTCCAGGCAAGTGCTGGCAGCAGCTTTTTTCTAACACCTTCTTCTAAGTGTTCATTGAATTAAACCACAAAGTGGGTGGTGTCCATTGCGTGGGGGGGGGGGGAAGTGCGTAGGAGGGGCCCTGTGGACATCTCTGCTGTCCAGCCTAGAGGATGGAGGATAGCTATCACCACCCCCATGGAACAAACCCCCGAGGTCTCCCCAGGATGAGCCCCAACGCCCTGCACTGGCACCCCTCACTGGTTTCTGAGAACACTCGGTGGAAGCTGTTCGTCCAGGCCCTGGTTTCCTGGCTAAAGAACGGGGCCTCACCCAGGTGAGGTCTTGACCTTCAGGAGTCAATCCCTACAGAAGCAAGGCCAAAAAGAGGCTGCCCACTCCCAGCCCAGTAGCTACGCACACAGTCCCAGGTCAGTGGCTCTGCCTGGTAAGAAGCCACCAGTGAATTCCAGAAAGAATCCCAACAGCAAAGCAGGAAGAGCTTACCCTGTCTCTCAGGGGCCTCACCTCATAGGCAGGGAGAGGACCCCAGAAGCAGGGGCACCCACTTCCTGGAAGTCATGAGCTTCATCTGGCCTCCCTCCCTTGCCCTGCCTTCCAGTCACCCATGACTCAGAATGCATTTGGGGAATTTGCCCAGTATCTTCAGATACAACTACACACAGCACTGTGGCTGTATCTTAAAAGCCAGGCCTGGGGATAGTCACAAGAATTATCCAAAGAATTTGCCAAGGGGAGGACTACACAGTGTGGCCTATGCAATGATGCCTTGCAGTGCTGTTCGTAACAATACCTAAAATTGCCCAAAAGAAATTATGCACCAGTGTCAAAAAATAGCATTATAGTTTGAGATCATTTCAACCAGCTTTAGGAAAATGCTCTACACAAGGATTTCAAAATCTTCCCATTCAATTTTTCCATCTTTTTTTGCAAGTGGCCTTATTTCACAGGAGCCTACAGTAGACTGAATAGATCCAATCTAATCTAATCTAATAAAATCTAGAAGCCTGGGCCCAGCAAGGTAGCCTAGTGGCTAAAGTACTCTCCTTGCATTTCCAGGATCCCATATGGGCATGCATACGATTCTTATCCAAGCGGCCCTGTTTCCTATCCAGCTCCCTGCTTGTGGCCTGGGAAAGCAGTAGTGCCTCTGGGACCCTGCACCCACATGGGAGACCCAGAGGAAACTCCTGGCTTCAGATTGGCTCGGGTCCAGCCATTGTGGACACTTGGGGAATGAATTGGAGGATGGAAGATCTGCCTTTCTCCTCCTTTTCTCTGTATATGACTTTGCAATAAAATAAATCTTTAAAAGAAAATCTAGGAGCCTACAGGACTGAATCGATGGGCAACTTCATATTTTTAGAAGGATACGTTTGCTACCAGCCTCTTCACCACAGCCCCAATGTCTGGTAAAGCAGGACTACATGCCCACTCCTACAGAGCCAGGTCAGGGACGTCTTCCCTCCCCCAGGGAGGCCACAGTGAGTGGATCTTCAACAAACAGGGAGGCAGCTCCTTCAGGCGCAGTGCCTGCCTTCCCCGGTTACAGCTAAGCACGTCTGAAGCCGCAATGCACGGAAGTACGAAGGCTGTGAGAACACGGCTCTGGGAGCATGCTCCTCTGCTTTCCTGCGACCTACCCTGTGTCTACCCATCCCAACCCGCAGCCCTGCTAGCCTCGGCTAAAACTGCAAGCAAACGCTCCATCACCTGCAGTCCCTCTAAGAGGAGGCCCTATGAAGGCAAAGTGGAAGTCTGCCCGATCCTGTGGCATGTCTTTAGAAACTCCAGACTACACGTGGAATGACAACCTTTTGGAGCAGGTTCAGGACTTGTTTACCTAACAATCACACTTGGCTTCTTTGAGTTGGGGCATTGGACTCGAGTCTACTTAATCATGTCTAGGGTTTAAGTTAGCAGGTCCTATATTTTTCCTAGTGTGCTCCCCTCCACAGGTGACCAGCTCATTCCCTGGTGTTTATCCCTTGCCACTACTTACACTAGAACTCAAGTGCCCACACGTGCTAGGTAGGGCCAGTCTGCCAATCTGAATGAACCCTGGTGCATTTTCCTTTTTAAGGTTTTAAAGAATCTCTTAATGTTATTTCTAACCCCAGCCTCTGAAGTTCCAGGGAGCATAGTCCTGCAGGTAGGACTTTCCTAGTTAAAAATACGGCAGGAATGGCTTTCAGAGTTTCTTCTACCACAATGAGAAAATAAGCAGTTGCATATAAAGACAATAGCTGCACAACACACTACAAATGGCTCAATATGAGGCCCATGAAGTAAGCACTTCTTAAAAGTTGGCAATGGGGCCCAGTGCACAGTAGCCTAGTGGCCAAAACCCTCGCCTTACAGGAAACCAGAATCCCACATGGGCGCCTGGTTCCATCTTGGAAGATCTACTTCCCATTCAGCTCAATGCTTATGGCCTGGGAAATCAGCAGGGGACGACCCAAAGTCTTAGGACCCTGCACCCAAATGGGACACCCAGAAGCACTTGCCTTCAGATCAGCTCATCTCCTGGCCTTAGCTCTGGTCATTGCAGCCACTTGCAGAGTGAACAGAAGTTCTTCCTGTCTCTCTTCCCATCTGTATATCTGACATTCCAATGAACAAATTAAAAAAAAAGAAAACCCTGCCAAGGGGCCAGCATTGTGGACCTAGGGATTAAGCCCTACCCTGACATTACCCTTCTATACAGCATCTGTTCAAATCCCTACCCCCGACTCCTGACCAAATAATAATGTACTGCTAATAATGTACTGGGAAGGCAGCTGCTTGGGCCCCTGCCACCCCTGTGCGAGATCCAGACAGTTCCTGGCTCCTGGCTTCCTTCAGCATAGGAAGGAAGTGTTGCAGTGTGGCGTGAACCAAGAGATGAACAAGTCTTCTCCCAGTCACTCTGCCTTTCATATCATTCTTTAAACAAACTTAAGAAAAATGAAAACTGGCCCAATTACCTACATGGGATTCAGATCACCACACCTCCACAGTAGAGAAGCTGGCTGGTAAAGAGTGTGACAACCAAACACGATTGCATCATGCCAGTTCCAGGAGAGGTAGCAGTCCCAGAGGGAAATGTGCAAGAGTCTCTGCAAGCATTTACAGTACTCAACACTGCCAGCAAGTCAGCCTGAGGTCTTGCTAATGTTCACCAGCAATTTACACTGTTAACAGAGATCCTCAACACTTCCTGGGACTCTGGAGTTCCAGGGAACATTTGCAAACCACCTAAGGACATGATGAAGTCAGGGTAGGAACCTGGGGTCTCTTCTCCAAGGGCTGTTCTGCAGAGTCCAGCTACCTTGCCCTGATGCCACCTAAGCTCCCAGGATTCACATACATGCCTGCAGGATGGTACAACCCTTACAGGGTGACGGGAACTAGTCCTGGAGGCTTCGTCACAACCTCCTTCTTGACCCAGGAGGCCTGTACCTGTCTCTCCTCACTGCTTGCCCACCCCCAGCCTCTCTTCCATTCATCACATGTGTCTGCTGGGCTGAAGCTCCATGCCAGGCGCTCAGGGAGCAGGACAGGTACAAGCCAGTTCTCCAGCAGAGGTCAGGATTAAACCTGCACTGTTCTTATAGTACAGGCATCTTTTTTACCCACATCCCTGTGTTTAGAATTTTTTTAATCCCGGTGCAGCACAACCCTTGCAGGGGAAGATAACTCACAAATGCCCCTGCATTAGCACCTGCCTGTGCAGGCAAAGTTCTGGGTTCATACTCCACTTCTCCCACTGCCTCTGGCATGTGAGCACTGCCAGGGTATGGGGCAGCAGTTTCCCTCAGGGTGATGCCCTGTGCAGTAACCAATAACCTGTTCACTGCAATGGGGTTTTGGGGGATAGAGTTTGGGAGAAGCCTGGCTCCACACATAGGCTATAAATGCTATACTTCTGGACCGCTTTCTCCATCTGTCACCAGTGGTGCAGGCAGCCCACGTGGACACCAGTTTGAGTCATGGCTACTCCACTTATGATCCAGTTCCTTGATAACTGGCCTGAGACAGCAATGGAGAATAGCTCAAGAGCTTGGGGGAAAATATACCAAAACGGGGGAGCTTATCAGGCTGGATAGAAAAAAATCTGCCTATTCAGTTACAAAAACAGAAAAGGCAGAAAATAACAACAAAAAATTATGCCAAGACAACCCCTCACCCTCCACCAACCTCTCTCCCAGAAAAACATTCTTGGTTAAGCGCCCCTTCCCATCACCTCAGCTTGCAGGTGCTGCATACACCTCCAACTCCCAGCACACAACCCTAGAAGGGTTATGGCTCTTCCAGCCTTTGGAATGCCTGTGAAACTCCGTCCCTTCAGTGGTAAAACTAGAGTCCAAGGGAGGACGCTGGGGGAGTGTCAGGGAGAAAGAAGGCAGGAACTGTGGTACACTGTCCTCTAGGGCTACCTGCTGCCAAGGTGCCTAGCTTCTTTGTCCTAGGAACTTGGCTCTCTGCTAATGTGTCCAATAAAGCAACTACAGATTGCTCAGTGCTTTGGTACCACTCATATAAGCCTATGACCAGGATGGAGCTCCTGGCTTCAGCCATCTCTTGATCACTTGGGGAATGAATCTCCTGATGGATATGACCACGGACTGTTCTAGTGCCCCTGCTCCCAGACCTTTCTCTCCTGCAGGGAGCCAGCTCCCAAGGTTAACACTCATGCCAAGAAGGGCTTCATCCAGTGTCCCTGTCCTTGTCCCCCGATATAGAAAGGGGTGCCATTCTGCTCCTATACATTTTTCTCCATTTCTGGAAGAAATGGACAAATCCCATTACGGCCAAAAACAAGAGATCAGGTTACAGGTGCCAGTTTCTTCCTAACCTCTCTGCAAGTCTGAAGCCCTAAATCCCATTTGTAAGGAAAGCACAAAGACTTTCATCACCTCCCCACGTAAACCCTCTCATCCTCTAACAGGACCCCTTATCCCCCAGAAGGAATCGCCCCTGGCCAGTATCTATATTTCCTACTGAACACTCCATATTTATTCAATCCTTCTTATCTGCCTTTAAAATCTCAACCTGATATAAACCCAACCAATATCCTCCAGGATTGTCCACACGAGTCAACAGAGGCTCAGGACTAAGTAGAATGAGTAGGAATCTCAACCCAGTTCTCATTCCACACTGGGGCCACTTGGGCTGGCCTGTAACCTAACCGACTTTTCCTTTTGCAACACTGATGGCTCTTACCAATTCTGAAAATGAGCAATGCTAGTCTGCAAAGGCTCTGGAATCTGTTTAATCCTCTTAGCCACCACTTAGCTGCCACTTGTGCCCACTTCACAGATTGAAACTTAAGCCACCATTGCCATCTCATGTGTGGTCCCACACCTTCTGCCAGATCGAGACCTACCTGAACATGTGCACTGGGCCCTTTCGCTTCTGGAAGGACGCGCCCTGTCCTGCAATGGTTAACAGAGATGAACGATGAGAAAAGTGCTCCTCACCAAGGTGGGCAACTGTGTCCCTGTGTCCCTGTGTCCCTCAGCACTCGGCTCCAGCATCTAGAACAACAGCTCCAGGAGAAGACAAGCCACCTGCCAATCCCCTTTACCAGGAGTGGATGAATTCCACATGTGTCCGTGCCTATCATGAAAATGGAGATCAGACATACAAAGGTGGACTTCGTCATCCAATAGACCCTGGAAAGATTTTTCTCACTCCTGAAGCAACAAAACCCAGCAATTTCTCAGAACCATCAAAACCCCTGAAGTTTTACCCTTGGAACACTTTCCCACAATGGGGTCTCTAAGGTATCAAATGTGTCCAATCCCCTGGTGCAGATGCAGTTTGACAGAAAGGAACTGCCCCTTCCCCCTTATCCCTACACACAAGAAAAAAAAAGTATTTGTCCCACTCACCTTTCTCTATACTTGAACCTCTCCTCTATCTAATCAGAAGCCCACAGGAACATGCATGCCTCAACTACGTAAGCAATATTACAAAAATTCAAAAATGAAGAGGGCCCAGCACAACAGCCTAGCAGCTACAGTCCCCTCATCTTGCACATGCTGCGATCCCATGTTGCGTCTGGGCGGCCCAGCTTCCCACCAACTCTCTGCTTGTGGCCTGGGAAAGAAGTTGAAGATGATCCAAAGTCTTAAGTCTTGGGACCCTGTACCCACGTGCTGAAATTTCCTGGCTCCTGGTTTAGGATCTGCTCAGCTCTGGCCATTGTGGCCACTTGGGGAGTAAATCATTGAACGGAAGATCTTTCTTTCCTCCTCTCTGTATATCTGTCTTTCCAATAAAGATAAAAACAAATTTAAAAGTAACTGGAAATCAGCTTGACAACATTGTGTCATACATATGATTAAACCACTTTTGGAGATGCTTTTCTCATGTGGCACCAGTTCAAATCCTGCCTGCCCGATTTCCAATTCCTTCTGATACACCCGGGGAAGGCAGGCACCCCTCACCCCCCGTACTTGGTCACCAGCATAAAGTTCCAAGCTCCTGGCTTCTGCCAGCTCCAGATGTTGCAGCCATTTGGGGAAGTCAATGTCTGCCTTCGATATAAATTTTCTGAAAAAGAACCTGGGCTGTGGCCTTGCACCTGAGCAGCCAGCAGTGAGTGAATTAGAATATCCAGAAAGCAAGGCCCAGAAAGTTCACTATTCCTCTAGGGGGAATCCAATCCCAGAGGATCCTAGAAAAGGCTGGGGGAGCCCGGAGGTGCCGTGAGGCCTGCTCTGCAGCTGACCAATCTTAAGGCGTTTCCAACAGAGCTTACCGGCATCCTCTCTGCACCAGTGCTGCAGTAATAAGGGGTGACAGGCGGCTCTGGGTCACAGGCCCCACATGGTGGCAGGAAGGAAAGACGGAAGCAGCTTCCCCTTACCTCCTCACCCCCTGCAGCTCCAAGCCCCCTCCCCGCGCCCTCTGCAGGAGTAGAGGATGACTAAGGCTTTGAGATGGAGGCAGTGTCAACCCCTTTGTCTCAAGCCTCTGAAGGGCCCAGTGGGAAAAGGTGCAAGCTCACTAAGCCACACCTTCCCAGATGGCCCCAAGCATGGGAGGCGGGGCTAAAAATGGCCCCAACCCATTTTTTTAAATGCCTCTTTTCAACATGGAACAAAGGCAGTCCTTCCTGCCAACTCCCAAATCATGGACAATGAATTGGAAAAGCCTTCATAGCTGAGAAAGGAACCAAGGCCTTCTGCAGTGAAGACAGGAAAAGGAGATGCCTGCTAGGGTGCCTCCCTGCAACTCCATCCGCACGGGGTGAGAGGGGTTGTAGGTTCGTGCTGACCTTAGAGCAAGCAGGAGCTCACAGTATGCCAGCCATTAGCTACCGCAACAGGACAGGCACCACAGCACCATGCAACGCTGCCACGAGAGCAGCCCTCACACTTACACCACCTGAAATTCCTATAACAACCCCCCTACCTCAAGATGTAGTCACAGAGCCCATGGGCACGTCGAGTGTCCTGTGGGAATTCAAATACGCACAGAAATCTTAGCAGGTGTGTAAGGAAAGCAGTCTGTTCAGCTAAGAAAACCAGCACAGAAAACACGTGGGTACCTTCTGCATACAAAAAGCTACTGGCCTCTTAACCCGAGTCAGGAAACCAGCAGACGGCCTTTCCAACAGGCGGAGAAGCAGAAGCCGCACAGCAGGCCAGGTGGCCCAGTGCAAAAGGTCAGGTTCCTGGGCCCCCTAGAATAAGCCCAGGGAAAGAAGCCGTCTCCGCCCCCCCCCCAAAAAAAACCTGTCCCCAGGCCACCAAGATCTTTAACATCCAAGTCACGGCCGGTGGTTCAGGCTCGCGGTTCTTATAACCCCCTTTGATTCATAAAGTTCTGAAAGTTTCGTGGAGGACAGACTTGTGGAGAGGGGGAGAGGAGGAGCGAGCCGATAGGCATGGGCTGGGCACACCTGCAGCCTTAGCTTAGCACTCCAAGAGCCTAAATTTTGTAATCACCGCGCTCCATCTCTTCCCTTCCACTTTCTCCTTTTAACGTGGGACGCAGCCACCGGGCCCTAAAACCATCACATTAAAGCCGGCTTTCTAAGAGGTGTTATTAAAGGTTTCGGGGGCTCCGTTTGGGAAGTGTGCCCGGCCTCACCCCGGAAGGGTGCTGATCATGCAAAGTAAGACCCCAGGACAGGCACCGCAGCGTGGCAGGAGGGACCGCCCCTGCAGCTGACTGGTCCTGGGCCAGGTGCACACACAGAGAGCGTGGAGGATCTGCCCTAGGCGTCCTAAAGCGCTGCTACGAGTTGACCCAGTGGCTTTTGGTAGGAGGGACCCCAGCAGTGCTCCATGGGGGACGCCCCAGCCAACCTGCTCCCCTCACTGGCACCCACCGCCTCTTTCTCGTCCCTCGGGTAGAGAGCGGTCCCATGCGCAGAGAACAGAACAGACAGAAGAAGCCCACCTCCACGGCACAACTCCCGCGTCCAACTTCCTCGCCGGCAGCTTCCCCGGAGCTGATCAGCTAAGCAGGAGCCACTACTGCCCCCGTCTCTCTTGGGGAGACGCCACGCCCTCCACGCAACACTTCGGTGGGGTCCCGTGCGCCTCACCTGCAGGAGTAAACTTGGTGGGGTCTTTCTGGGCGTCCACTGCGCAGGATGCAGTCCCCGCCCTACGCACGCCTTCCCTACCTCTTACCGCGCTCCTCCGGATACCCCCAGCAAGGAGCGAGACTGTCCCTTGGTGACCCCGTCCACCCAGCCAGCCAGCCAACCAACCAGCCAGCCGAATGCGGAGGGGGAGTCTCCCCGCCGCAGAAGCTGTGCGAGACCCACGTTCCTCACCCCACCCACCGCGGGGGCGCGGGGGCGCGGGGGCGCTCACCTGCGGGACGGCGAGCTGGGGCGCAGCTCCGAGGGGCGCGCCGCGGGTCGTGGCCAGCGGGCGGGAGGCCGGCGGGCGGCCCGCGCACAGCGCTAGGCTCGCGAATCTCCGGCGCCGATCGCCGGGCTAAGTTTACTTGGACGGCTTAACCCCCGCACTGCCGGACCTGGCCGCTGGCCCGCCTGCCCGCCCGAGGTCCCCCGGGTGCCGTCCGTGCGTCCGTCGGGGGGCGCTCGGCGCGTCCACGCGTGCGCGCAGGGGAGGCCTGGAAGGAGCGGCTCGGGGTGGCGGGGGAAGCAGCTGTGGGTGCTGAGGGGGCGGCGCCGCCTCGCCTTGTAACCCCGGCCTGGCCGTCGCCCCGCCCTCGCCCGGGGGCGCCCCCGCCGCAGCCACTCAGAGCCCGGCCCGGCGCTGGTGGGGGGAGCGGGCGCAGGGGAGGAGGGAAATTTGAAATCGCTGGGGGAGCCTCCCCTCCGCCCCTCCTCCTCGGGCACTGCCTTCGCCTCCCCCTACGCTAAACGTGCACCCCCTCACCCGTGAAGTGACCCCGGGCGAGAACAAGCCCAAGGGGGCGGCGAACAGGGGGTCTGGGGTCTTCATGTATCCCTAATGTTTCCTTTGGAGACCTTTCCCGCGACCCCACCGCCATCATGGACACACACCCCGGTCTGGATGTGGGGGACGAGACAGGGAAGGGCCCCCCCTACCCCGGGGTCACACAGCAACCCCATGGGGTTGGATCCTACATCCAGCTGCAGTGCCCGCTGTGGCCGAGTGCATCCGCTGGTCACCCCGCTGTGGACCCTGGGATTGTCCTCCCTCCGGACCTCTCACCCCGCTCGGCCTGTGGCAGCCATCTTGAGGAGCAGAGGGAACCGAGGTCTTGGTCAGGTCCCTGGCCGCCTGGGTTCGCCTTGCCGGCGGAGGATGAGAAGGTAGTCTAGTCTGGGAGCAGGACTGGAGCCCTGGCAGGAAAATACTGCCTTGTGTTTCCAGTTGCTGGGGAGGGGGGGGGGCGGGTATCTCTTTGCCCTACTACCTGCCGTCTCTATTCAGACCTCTGAAAGGCTCTGAGTGGATGCTGGATGACTAAATGACAGACATGGACCACATGACCTGTATGCCTCTGTGCGCATCTCCCAGCCTCTCCCTCGCTCCAGCCTCCCTGCTCAAACCCCAAATTGTCCTGGTTATGCAACCTTGGCCTCACTGTTCCCCCACCTGGACATTCCTCATCCAGATCTCACCAGGGGGTTCTCCCCAAAAATGATCCCCCTCCAGAGAGGTCTGTTCCGATGACTGCACCCAAACAATCCCAAGGCTCCAGCTCCAGCATTCCTCCCTGTGCTGTTAAGGCTCCAAGCCCTCGGAACCCATTTTGCATGTCTCTGGTTTTCTGATTTACATCCCCCTCAATACATATACATGAAGTCCACTACCAGGGAGTGATCACACCTCTTGCTCCATCCTGTGTGAAACAAGGACATGACTGCGTGGATCTTAAGAGAACTGTGGAGTTTGCTGGGCTTCACAGCTGTCTTCCTGCCTCTCTTACTAGGAGAGTGAAGGTGTGAGTCAATGGAAGGTTCCTGCTC